ATACTTGCATCATATATGTTACAATCCATTAGAAATGACTTGAGTGGATGACTTGTGTGCGAATTCCTAGTAATGTGCACCTAACTGATACTGCCAATTGTAAATTGAAATAGAAGATCAGAAGAAAAGTGAAACTCCATTTTCTAAATATTGTTCTCATCCTTTCCCTTCCACGGCCGAGTCAGATGACGGAGTGTAAACGTCTTCAACTAATACACAAAGATAGATATTCAACTGTAGTACATGTACGTCTTTAAGTTATTAAGATACTAAAATCAATGTTAGAATGTTATCTTCATGGAAGAAGGTCCATACACATGAAAGAAATTATTTTTAAATACTGCAAATCATAATTTTTGTGGGGGTTTTTCTATTGATTCTGTGGGTGATCCATGGATTATTATATCTCCACCACTATAAACGTTCTTGATTTTGTGCCATCTAATTCTAGGGTAATCTCTTCTTGAATTTGTGCCATCTAATTCTAGGGTAATTTCTTCTTGAATTTGTGCCATCTAATTCTAGGGTAATTTCTTCTTGAATTTGTGCCATCTAATTCTAGGGTAATTTCTTCTTGAATTTGGTGCCATCTAATTCTAGGGTAATTTTTTCTTGTTTTGGTGCCATCTAATTCTAGGTTAATTTCTTCTTGAATTTGGTGCCATCTAATTCTAGGGTAATTTTTCCTTGTTTTGGTGCCATCTAATTCTAGGTTAATTTCTTCTTGAATTTGGTGCCATCTAATTCTAGGGTAATTTTTTCTTGTTTTGGTGCCATCTAATTCTAGGTTAATTTCTTCTTGAATTTGGTGCCATCTAATTCTAGGGTAATTTTTTCTTGTTTTGGTGACATCTAATTCTAGGTTAATTTCTTCTTGAATTTGTGCCATCTAATTCTAGGGTAATTTCTTCTTGAATTTGTGCCATCTAATTCTAGGTTAATTTCTTCTTGAATTTGTGCCATCTAATTCTAGGTTAATTTCTTCTTGAATTTGTGCCATCTAATTCTAGGGTAATTTCTTCTTGAATTTGGTGCCATCTAATTCTAGGGTAATTTCTTTTTTTTTTCGCAAAGTAGCACTTTGATCAGTAGTGACCATAATTATTGCCTTCAAAATACCAACACTGCAATTAACACAATCATACATAAGCGCAATATTTTACACGCAAAATGCGCTGAGATGAAAGAAATACACATTAACAGTATTTCTTTACTCCATAATTGTAATTGACATCAGAGTTATGAATCATGATACAAGTGATAACAAATAAACAAAAACCTTGCATTTACTAAGATTCCTTATTAGAAGGAAAATCAAACAATTTTCAACTCAATTCGTACTTTTTGTCGAGTCACTACCCACGGTAAACTATTACTTCTGCACATGCAGTAAGTGTGCGCCTTGGTTCCCACTGATACGAAACCAGTCTATCTATCCCGAAAGAAATGTCTTTATCGAGAGAACAATCAAAAGTCAGGTTGTGAGAACTTTTAATTTTATCTTCTTCAAAATCTAGGGATCTCGTGTGTGAACGCATGTGATTAGAAATATGACAAATACACGGATGATAAATGGAATCATTAATTATCTATGTGTTTTGTCAAACCTGACCTTTCTTGTAGTAGAGAAAATCTTAGTGACGTCATTGTTTTGTACTTGATACACTGAGTCGGTGAATACTGTTTGCTATTTTAAGAAACTTGTATATAGACAAACTGGCTTTTTTCTACAACTAAAGGTTTATTTAGGCGTCGTACTTTAGCCTGTTCTACCAAGAAATGTTTGCCATGCCCTTTTGTGTATATCAGTGAAATTATACCACTGGTAAGTGACCTTTGACTTTTGATCGCAGTTGTAATGATAAAAAAGTCTCTTAACGTTATTGTTTTCTTTGTTGAATTGTTGGGGTTTCGTTCGTTTGATACCTCCTCCTCGCTGATATAAAACTGTTTACATCCTGCTAATTTCTTTTGGTTTGTGATTTGATGTCCTCAAGAGTTCTATGAACACATATCCTTTTGTTTTAAGCCAATTATCTCCTATCAAGTTACAACCTCACATACTTCCTTTAAGCCGAAGAAACGTCAGCTAGGACACAGTTCGATAAACCAACCAAGGCAGGAAAAGATATCGTTTCGATAAAAATACCACAGATGATTACTAAAAGCTACTACAACGAAAATGACCCAGACTGTTTAGCAGAGCGATGAATTCAACAAATATAAACAAATCTATAATGCAACAGGTGCTTCAACATAGAAAAGGAAGAATACTGAAACTGTTTCTCTTCTAATACATTGTGGTTTACGGACAAACCGCTTGGGATCAGCATGGGATGGTACATGTAGATGTAAACTGTATCAAATACTCCCTTGGTGAGATGGGTGTAGATTATTCATTAGCGTTTAGATATAAATATTTTAACATACATTAAACATGATTGTACATAACCATATTCATAACTGTTTTGCCCGAGGGTCTAACATTTTTTTCTGTCATAAAAATATGTTTAACATATGTAGTGACCTGTCTGTATTACGGTTTTACATGTGTCACCCAATGATTGAATGTAATCCATGCCTTTAGATATGGATAGGGTAGGAATGTGCAATTCTCTGGTTTTAATTAATCTAAAGTAATTCTTTACCACTAGTTTTTCTAGAGCTGAACCTTAGTTGACAGAGGTGCGGGCTCAGATATACTGTGCGAAAAACGTCACCGGTTGCACTTGTGCTAGAAAAGTTAACATCAATCCCACAACACTTAGCCAATTGTATTGGAATAGGTTAAAGGAGAGTGGTTTTGGTGATACAGCATCACCTTCCAGCTATGGAAACGACTTTATCTGGGAGAGCAAAACAACAGGACATGACATATGTGTTTCCTTGATTGCGATTTAAAGCTCATCGGGATTCCAGTTTCTGCTGCGCAATCAATGCTCAAAATGACACTTCAAACCATTCACTGTTATTTACACTATTTGGGTTTTGGTTTTTTTTAATTTTATCTTATCTGTCCCTGATGTCTTAATTTTGTGTCAGTATCTCCTTAATTAATGTCTTTCATTTTGTTTAAGTATCTTGTGTGCGTTTCTACAATCATTTCCAGCGATGTCTACAGTGTCCATGATGACATTATTATGGTCAGCTATTTCGTTTTGGTCCTAATATCTTCCTGCTGCTGTTGTTTTTCTTTAAATGTTAAAAAAAGATTCAGGGTTCGCCTTTTACTCATTTATTCTTTACCAAAAACTTTTCATCTCTATTCTTTTTAGCATTTTCATAAAGCCGTGTCAGCTTTTCCTTCTTCATTGAAATGATTTTTTGTATGTCTTCCACTTACTTTTTAATTCACTCCACAAGATATCTAGTACACCTTTCCATTTTTGTTTTCCTTTTTCCAAGGAAATACTTTACTATGTTAACACCTTGCCTTTATCAGTATTCAGGACAAAAATTTCCTTTAATGTCGAGAAAATTTTGTACAAGAAAATATCTTGGGCATATTTTTTCCTTACTGTAGAAAATATTCAGTACTGGAAAATATTTTTAGTATTCTTTTATCTTATCACTTTTTCATACAAGAGCAACTGTACGAAAATATACTGACATATTGGAATAATCGCAGTTCAAACTCAAAAATTTCACAAGCAAAATATCAAGAAATAAGTACAAGGAGAGAAAGAATAGGTGCTTATTGACGACATCTACTATGCAACTACTGATCAATCCAGGCAAGTAGTGTCATGTTCTCAAATAAAACAAGCTTACAGTTAGTATTGCATGCAACACATGTCCCCTGCCGTAAATTCCTATATTTATCGGCAAATAAGCCCATGTCTGCTAATAAGCCCACCAATGTTCTGTTGTAAAGTAAATGGGAGCAAATGCTACTTAACTGTTTGCAATAAGCTAACCCTTTATCATGGATACGAGTTTATATGTTGGCCCCATGATCTAATTGCAGTATAAATACATTATTTTTTCAAGTAATGTAGAGCTTGTTCTGTATCAGAAGTGTCTTGTGTTATTATTTATAAGCTTCCAGTGTATCAAGTTTCAACCAAATCCATCAATCCGTTCTCAAGTTATTGTCCGGAAACTAAAATGTGACAACAATTTCTATTTTTAGTAAGTGACCTTTGTAGTTGATTTTTTGACCCCAAACAAAATCCCACACTATATTGCCTTCTAAACTACCATTGTATGAAGTTTGATTAAAATCCATCATTCTGTTCTCAAGTTATCGTCTGGAAACCAACATCCGGACAGACATCCGGACGGACAGATGGACAGCAGAGACAAACTATAGTCTCCTCCGGTTTCACCGGCAGGGGACTAATAAAAGTAAAATAACAAAGAACAACCAAGCAAACTAACCAGCATCAAACACCTCTAGCTTCACATTGAATAAACAAATAGAATAATTTTTTCTCTTTGAGATCATTATGACAACTGTAAAACAAGAAAATAAATGCCCTTTTCCGTTTTGTCAGGAAAACCAAACATTTTGAGTAAGCAATTTTCGTCTTATTAGTATATTACATTTGTATAGTACATCTTTATCAAGTATTTGTATCAACTGTATTTGATTCTAAATTTTTGAGGTGCGAATCACTTGTGTCTTATGCACAATCTTTGGACAAGATTTTGAGCACACCTTTCCTATTTTCCCAATAGTTAAGAATACTGGAGAAGATTTTGAGCACACCTTTCCTATTTTCCCAATTGTTAAGAATACTGGACAAGATTTTGAGCACATCTTTCCTATTTTCCCTATTGTTAAGAATACTGGACAAGATTTTGAGCACCCCTTTTCTATTTTCCCTATTGTTAAGAATACTGGACAAGATTTTGAGCACACCTTTCCCTTATTGTACTGTTACTATTTGGAAATACATTTTGAGTATGCTTTTCCATTATCAAACGCATACTTGTTCCAACTTAACTCAGAGCACATATGCCTTCTTGCTTAAGCTGACAAAAACATGCAAGATAAGTTGTATGAAATCTTTTTATAAAAAAACATCTATCAAATATACATCTTCATCAATCTGCAGAAATTACAGAACAACTCAGTGATTTACACAAAGGATGATATGAGTGATTTTGATAATCAACCTTCATTTGAAGAGTCACACTCCTTCAGGTGGATTCTAGATTATCTCATAACAAAATGCAAATTACAATAGAACAAAATGAAGTTATGCCTTTAAAGAAAAACACATATCTATCATTACGGAGGAAACTTTGTGAAAAGAAAAAGCAAATAAAACAGGCAGTGCAAGCACACCATTTATGTTTGATGACAATGAATAACAATATTTAATGCTTAAATACTAATCCATAATTGTCACATTGATTACAAAAACATGTCTGTGTTAAGAATACTAAAAGTGCTTGTCTTATTCTCTAGTATAAATTTGTTTAATTTCTTTGAAAACTTAGTTCCAACGTGACTATTCACAGGAAAAAAAAGTTGGAAAATAATAAAATTGACACAAAATACAAACATAAGTGAGGTAATAGATAAAGTTATCCATGTATACATATATTTAAATACACTCATTTTACAATAGTGTCATACACACAAGTACCAAAGAAGGTAATTTAAGAACAGTTAAATCTTCCATACTCTTTCAACAGAAGTCGAAATTTCGCAAGTCACAAAAATATTAATTAATCATTATGTTCCTAATGCAATGCATAAGAAAAAATTTCATAAATAGCAGTTGTAGAAATATAAGATTATAAACATTTAATCATCACAGGAACACAGCTATTCACAACTATGTAAACATTTTCAGACGAAAATTGTTCCAAAATATCACTGTTCCAGTCTAGAAAACGTTTGATATTTTGAGACCAAGACCTGCAAATAGCTTCTAAATACATTGCTGATCTTGCCAAATTCAAGGATGAGCTTGTGAGAAGAAAGATTACTTTGGTACACGCTTGAGTTCATGGGCCAGCCAGATAGCAAAACTGAGCAGAACCAAAGATCCTGATTGATGAGTAGCTGCTAGATGTGTTGGTACATACAAAAGCAGTGTTGATATTCCAAGAGATGCCTTTAAAAAAAAAAATCAAAAGACATACTTTAGTATGTTTTTCCAGCATAATATAAATGATAGATCATTTCTTTTTCCATAATAAGGTTTTCTGCAAAAATTCTTAAATTAAGTTTCGGATTTTCTGTAATTCTATCCATTCTTTCAAAACAGCAATGAACAGAAACTCTAATAAGTAATGACAACCTCCACTGTACTTCAGAATTTTCTTATATTTCCTTTTCCAATATGTAGTCCTTACAAAATTGATGATAATGAAATAGACATAGCTCACTGGGTTTGTAAACAATCACAGATCACAATAACAACACATAGACAAATAAATAATCTATACCATGAATTTAAGGCATCATTTAATATTCACCATTTTTTTGCAGTTAGAATATGGTGAATCTATCAATATAGCTTAAGTGTTGTTTTGTAGAGGGAGAATCACAAGCGGCGAAAAAAAAAAAAATTTTATTGGAGGGTGAAACTTTTCCTGTATACCGTGGTGTGTAATATAACACTGTGATACCTTAAGTTTTTAATTAGCCTCCTGTTGTTTACATCATAGAGGCAATTAGTCCTTCTGGAAGCAATCCTTACCATAAAAATGAAATAACACTAGCAAAACCTTTCATCAATCAGATTTACAGTTAATAAAACTTGAAGTACATGAAGAGGACATTTTTGTACTCACCTGTACGAAAGCCATTCCAAGGAGACAGTTACTGGCCATTCTTGCCCTCGGGGGAAGTGGTGCTTTCCTACACATCCACCAGAAACCACAGATTACCAAGACAGTGCTTTGAGCCTGGAAAAAACAATAATGTTGGTTACAACCTGACATTATGTGACAAACACTGGGGTTTGGTATCTCAATAAATGACTACTGTATAACATATCAGCTGTAATGAAAATTCATTCAGCTAATATCTTTTTTAAAGGAAAAACAATCTAGGAGCCAAAAGATCCTAGTATGTGGTTCTGTTGCAATTTGAGAACATGACATCACTTTCTTGGACTGACCAAGATCTATATGGAGAGTGTCACAGATGAAACAGAATTCACTTACCCTTTCAGTCACACCTGGTTTTATTCTTGTACTTTCTCCGGAGTCTCATTTCGTTTTTTTTTTCTTTCACAATTTGCCATCATTTCATCCATTTTGTGTGACGCAACATTTTGATAAAGTGTTGATATAATGATGACAACAGGTGGTATCATATCATTATACTGTATTACTTGTGTACAATTTATCTTTGAAAATTATTTCGAAGGTCTTTGTTTTGACCTATCAGATTTGAGGTAGCCGGGTACCAAAATAAATGGCAACTTTCAGCTCTGATTTGGTAAGTTTATGAATATTTTCCTTGTTGTAATTAATTGCCCAGTCTAAATAAGGTATCACACACATTGCCTTTTAAGGTATGATATTGTTAAGTCATTACCTTTGTTGGGATTTCATTTCCACTGATTTTGAATGTATTTTTTATCAATGATTTCACACGTCCACAATATCAATGGCTTTCCTGAATACTTTTATACAAACAGTCAATCAGAATCAGACAAATGTTACAAAAAAAGGAACCAAAAATTGGCCCTGTGAAAATTTATGATTATATTTTATGCTGTTGAACTCTGCTAATTCCAGAAAACCATGCCCTCATTCCATGACTATCAAGTCTTCCATCTTTCCTTCCTGCCATATCTCCTCCCCCACTTCCCAAACAACAACAGAAAAAAGTGATGAAAAAATAGAGTTGAACAATTGATATCAACTTACAAGGTTTCTATGATCAAACTGGACAGTTGTTGGATTTTCAAAAAAGTTTTTCCATGTCGGAGAATGACTGAACAGATCCGAGGGAATCCATCTGTCTGCCATCTTTGGCCATGAGTTGTAGACAAGACCTGCATCCAGACCCGCTACAAAGGCACCTGTTCCAAAAACAGATAAAAAGTCACTATTGACCTTCTAACCTTGACTCATGACCAATTTGATGTAATAAGTTGTAGAAGACCATGTTATGATACTGTAAGGGAAAATATGAATCAAATCATTGTGAATGGGATATGATAGGACAGATACACTAAACACAATTTGTGACCATGTAAAATGATGAAAGCATCAAAATGTCTTTCTCCTGAAAATTTTATGGTGGATTTGTTTTTCTTTAATTTTGTTGATACTCTTAATCGAAGAATTCATATGTCCTTCAGCTGTCGTAATTTGTGTATGTAGATTCAATATGCTGTATTAATCCACGGAATCAAATGTCCCTGACATAGCAATTTTTAAAACGAGAGACCTATAGGCCTTAGCAGTCATCGGACTACAAAAACTTTCAGCAGGGAGAATGATTATTTTTCCTACTTTGAAAGAAATTTTACCAAGAAGCTGTTCTCCATGATGCAGATGGTAGTTTTGGTGAGGAGTAGGTACCTGTAACAAGTATGACCTATTTTCTGACAGTAACGTTGGAGCTCAATCCAACTGGTGGAACTATAGAAGAAGTCTGAAATCGGTATTGCACAGGAAAATCATGATTGCACAATTATGTTACAAAATGGCCTCCCTGGCTGATGTGTCAAAGTTTAAAAATAACAAAACTTTGTTGGCTACCTTTCCTTAACATTCCCACCAATTTTTAGCTCAATGGCACCAGTGGAACTGGAGAAGAAGTTTAAAATATGTTTTTCCAAGATGGCAGCCACCTTCGATTTCAAACATACCCAAAAAATAACAACACTTGGATAGGACCATCTCACAATCATTTTATGCAAGTTTGAGCTCAATCCTACTGATGGAACATGAGAAAAAGTTTGAAATGTCAGAAGTTTACACATGGCTCATGACAACAGACGAAGAACAATGATTATAATAATGGTAAAAATTGAGTCCCACAAGAATATATGCTTATACAATATTGATTGTTTTACCCTCTTATCTATAATGTACAGTTGTAGGACACCACACCACACTCAAAATATTATGAACATATGGTATATAGTAGGTTGTGACAATCCTTGTGACCTTAAATTTACTTTACTATGTTCAACATTCTATTGTAATAACAGATTATTTTCTATGTGATTTATGCTTTGAAATTGTTGAACATTGCAAGTGGGGTAAGAATATCTATGAAAAACTGTAAAATCCAAACATTGCTGGTCTCGGGTCTTTCTGCTTATCTAGTTCTGATATCTGATCTGGGATGTGAACGATTTGACAGGAAAAAAGATTTCTTTATATGTAGTATATGATATAAATATCTATGCTTAGACTGGAATGTTATAATGTTACTTTTATGAATTACAAACCCTGACAAGCAAATTCTGTTAATCTGCAAACATAAGCAACAGACTTACCTGAGAGAGCTGTTAGGAAGACGGCAGTTAGAACACCGTGACACATCCCTCTGAGTTTGGCCATCTGTTTTAGATTTGCATCTGGTAACTTGACAAAGTTGAAATAACAAGTATTACTTATATCATAAGACTTCTTTTATTATCATGTCTGTTAATATCACATTTCAGAGAAAACAGAATTATTTTAATATCATACCATGTTTTATTAAAGCATCCTTTTTTCTGATGTTATCAATGTAATGCAAATTCTATTTGTGTAATATATTGTACTTGCACCAATGTAATCCTATAATGTCACTCCCTTCACTTGTCACTTTTTAAAAAGTCACAGGTAGTTGTGAAACATATTTGTGGGTTTCGGTTTGGTTTACCGTTATTTTAGTTCCTATTGAAAGCAAGGGTCATTAAAGGTTTGGGAGGTGGAGGCAAGCGGGAGTTTCTGGAGAAAAACATCTTATCTGTAGCCAGTACCTGGTGTTGTCCAATGAAGGCATCAACCCTGCTACCCAGAAGTAGAGGACGAGTGATAACGACAGTCAGACACGTTAACTACTCAGCCTCAAAACATTGTGGTTCATGGCATGTTTACATACTCAAGTTTAAATATGAACCAAACCTGTTTGAGAAGTTTTCAGGATCTGACACTTGTTCGGTCTTTGATGGGATGTGAATGACAGACATTGGCAACATCATATGCCCCTCCCCCACTCCCAAAAATAGCAGGAGCATGAAATAGTGCAGATGTGAGTATACTTGCATTCACCTATGATGTCAAGGAGTGAAAGGGAAAATGTTTTAATCATAAGTAGAGAAACCTGTATTTGATGATGTAATTAATCTGGGGATGTAGAATATGAACTTTTATTGCATATATTTCACAACTATTGTGAAACAAGTTATCTAAATTATATTAGTCACTCTTGAAGGCCTAGTGTAACCATGTGAAGCTCTTAGGGTGGAAGGACACCAGAATACCCAGGGAAACCCAGGCCAATCAGTTAGGCAGGTGGTTCCCTTCCTCTTCACATCCATTCCAGAATTTAAACAATGGACATTTAAGTGAAAGGCGAGTACATAGCCATTGTGCCGTCTAACCTTCCATACATAAGTATATTGCTATTCCATAGAATTTACATTCATACCCAACCTTCCATACATATGCATATTGCTGTCCGTAGAATTTACAAACATATGTTATTTGCTCACAAAAATGCCAATCCCTGAGTTATTGATATTGTGTAAGTCACTCAAGGTTTTTGTATGAAGGTTGATCATAGTAAGGATGATGATAGTTGTCTTGCATGTTAAAAACCTATAACATAATCCTATGAGACCAGTCGATAGAAACAAGAGAGAAACTTCATAGACAGTACAAGTGTCAGTAGGAAATCAGAAGGAACTTTAAAACATCAATACCTTGGCTGATGGAAGGAGATGGTTAAAGGCCTGATACAGAAACAGGGAATACAACAAGAAAGCTGAGCCCAAGTGGCTTGCCAATCGGTACTGACTGACACGTGGAACATCTGTAGGCTTAGGCTGCTCTTGTAGACCACTCTTCACCATATACCAGCCCAGGAAACCCTGCACAAACACAAGGAATCGAGAATGTAGAGTAGATCCAATTCATACACGCTCAATAGTGAATCCTATAAAACTCCTGTAAGCCATTAGACTTCTTGCATGAATGACAAAATGGTAGATTTATTTTCTTGTTACCAGAATTTTTCTAGGTTTGACTCTGAATAGTAAAGATAGTAGTAAAACTAAACTTGTTTCCAATCCCAGTGTTCTGTTTTCATATTTAATGAAAGTACATCACTGAAAGTTTCACAAACTTGTAACATCTTGCTTTTAAGTTTAAAAATTGGCCCTATTGGTCATTTACTACTAATACAATTGACTTGTGAACTGAAGCTGGTGTACAAAATAATTCAGATTCAGTCCCTTCTGCAGATAACACAATTTTTAAGATCAAGGACATCTATTCAGACCAATCTGAGAGCCCTTGGCTTCATTTAACTAACCAGAGAAATATAACCCTAGGGCCTTGCAGTGATTATTCTGATTTTAAAAAAAATGTCAGTGTATAATTTTCAATATCTTGGAAACTTTGAAAATGGCTTAAGATCATTCATTTCAGTTGCTGATTAAAATGAGTCTTTAACAGGAAACCATAGATGCCAGACACTATGAATGATGGATTCTGTACCTAGACAAAGTTTTTAACATTCAGGTAAATAATAATCATTAATTATAGGCCAGGCCCTTTATATCATACATACATGTAGAGGATCAAACAGGAGTTTGTATTCATATGAGTTTATAGTAAAACATATCTTACGAGTTTTCATTTAATTGAGCCTCATAAATCTCTTATGGAATGGAAACAATATACGATTATGTTTATCTCATAACTTACTTAAACATTGTTGCAACATTTAGAAAGAGAAGACAAACATTTCATCAGATCGATACAAAATCTGAACAGGCCAAATATTGACTTCACATTTTGACATTTCTTATACTTATATAACTTGTGAGTGATATTGCATTAAGTTGTAATCTAGGTATGACCTTAGCTTGCCATTTTCTTACCCCCATATTATTGATTCTGACTTTGACCTCCTTTCTGGAACACTATGAGAGCTTGATCTATGAATTGGCAGAATAGACCTTACCTTTATTTTGCTAATTACTGACAGCTACATATATATAACTGATTCTCCCTTTGTGTGACCTTAATTCTTCACCTATATGGAATCATATGAGAGCTGTATGAATTGCAAGTCTAGGAGTGACCTTGACCTGTTACCTATCTAAATTGCCAGCTCTATGTTTTACATTAATATCTCACCTACCTGAAAGCCTATGAGAGCTGTATAAATTGCAAGTCTTGGTTTCAAAGCTTTAGACACCCATCCCTTTGAGAGAAAAAAGGCTGCTGGCAGGAGGAAGGTCAGCCCTACCATACGTCCCATCATACGATGTGCGTACTCCATGTAAAAAATAAACTTGAAATCTGATAGAGTCATCTCCCTTTGCTGGTTGACACTAAAGTAAAAGGTGTTCAAGCTTATGATAATAATAAGATAATGGATTTGTTTCTTAAGACTAAAATCCAGGATTAAGATCAACACATTACAAAGTTTCATGTCATTACACTATAGATAATGAAATAAAGTAGTTACTTCTTTTAGTGAAAATGACACACCCTTTTTTCTTCACAGAAGGGACTTAGTCTATCAAAAAAATTTCAATTTCTCTGAGATTTAAAATCAAAGAAATCATTCATTCACATGTATCTTTGAACCTCTACTTACTCAATATGATATTTTGCTAGAAACAAAGCTGTCAAAGGGACATAATTCTACTTACTATTTGTATTCTGGAAATTGTTTGTACCGTTCAAACTCTGCCAACCATTCTTCTTTGCTTCGAGGAGGTTTCATGTCTTTGAAAAGTTTCCAATCAACCATTGACAGACCTGACTCTGTCAGCCTGTGAGTTATCAAAAAGAGATTTCTGAAATCTAATTCACAGTTCAGTTAAATCTGTGTGAAAATAGCCACCAAAGGGAGCAGGGAAAAGTGATATTGATTGGTAGGTGGCCTTCATACAGAGGTATAATTAAAATGTATTGTACTAAATAAGACCCAAAATTATCTGCCTTTACAGAAAAGTATTTGTTATATACTGATTATCTTTACAGACAGGTGTTTGCTATATACAGGTGGCCTTTACAGACAGTTGTTTGTTATATCCAGTGGCCTTTACAGACAGTTGTTTGTTATATACAGGTGGCCATTACAGACAGTTGTTTGTTATACACAGGTGGCCTTTACAGACAGTTGTTTGTTATATCCAGTGGCCTTTACAGACAGTTGTTTGTTATATACAGGTGGCCTTTACAGACAGTTGTTTGTTATATACAGGTGGCCTTTACAGACAGTTGTTTGTTATACACAGGTGGCCTTAACAGACAGTTGTTTGTTATATCCCGTGGCCTTTACAGACAGCTGTTTGTTATATACAGGTGGCCATTACAGACAGTTGTTTGTTATACACAGGTGGCCTTTACAGACAGTTGTTTGTTATATCCCTTGGCCTTTACAGACAGCTGTTTGTTATATACAGGTGGCCATTACAGACAGTTGTTTGCCATACACAGGTGGCCTTTACAGACAGTTGTTTGTTATATACAGGTATCCTTTATAAAATAGGTTTGAAAATATACCTTAAATTTATAAAAACAACCATCTTTTAGGGTTGGTTTATTTGAAGTATAAAAGATAAAAAGGAACCCACTTATTTATCCCCTCAGTGGAACCTCAGTTAATCTGAAAAGAAAAATCATTTATAAAACACCAAGCACACATCCTGAAAGACAATCCTTACTTTCACTGAAAAAAAATCATTGTTCTCTAGCCAGTGATATAAACACAAACCTGGTAACTCCTCCAAGAATGACAGTACCAAACACCATTCCAGAACATCCTACTAACCACCAGCCAATGGCCTTCTGTGTGTAAGCAGGGAGAGCTGGTTGTGCAGCAGCTGCATCTGTGGCTGATTTTCTTATTCCTTGAAGTAACTGACAGGATCGGCCAGTCATCTGCATATGTAAGATCACGATACCAACAAAATACCATTAAGCAGAAATAAGGACAACTTTTTAATTATTTTTTTGCTTATTAAGATAAACTAAGTTTTTTTTCTTGCAATTTTGAGGATTAATTGAACAAAATTAGCAAAAATTCATATATATATATAGTACCAAGACTATAATAATTCATTTAGTAATGAGTATTTAGTGTGATACAATTTTTCAAGCAATTTCTTTATTTTCACAGAATTATACAAGATGCTAATATGCTGACAGGACTTTCCCAAGTAATCCTATGTAGTATTTTATATACTAATCAAGATGGTATTATGTTACAAAATGGTTATAAGATTATAGTAAAAATAGGAAACATTGGTGATCTTCAACAGAAACCAATGAAACTTTGCCTATTTTTTGTAAAAACAAAGTCATAGAGGTGCAGGAATCTATGGGCTGATGTGACCTTTAGAAAATATCTGCTATCGCATATCTAGAAGGCTTCCTTGACCTGCCACTTCAAAACATTGCTTTTTCTAGGTGCTAAATGTTCTGTAGAATTGTCTCAATCAATGGTGTGTAATCTTTGCTCTAATCATTTGTCACTGGATATAGTAGAAAAAAAATGTATTCTAGAACACGGCCAATAATTACATACTTACACTTTTTACAGTTGACCGTAATGGGGTTTTCATTCTAATCATGGAATGGAAGTTCCTTCTGTTGACAGTGTTGAAACATGAAAATAACTGAGGCAGAATCTTGTTCTGAAATAAACCAGTCAGCTGTAAATCACTTTGTTTTACAATTTAACAAAATTATTTATCATCTGCTATGAAAAGAGACTAATTGAAAACATGTTGATCAAAGAATACACTACTGAGACAGAGAATTATACAGTCCCAATATCATAAAATTTGTTGGAATAACACATTAGTCCTTTTTTGACTTATGGAAAATTATATATACAATGCAGAGCTACTACTTATTATCAGCTGTTTTGCTTGCCCAAAGTTCAGGTTTGAGAGTATCTGCTATGAAATGCATATATCAACTATGAAGTAAAGGTTATTTTCATAGGTATGCTTTTTCCACGGCCAACATTGCAGAAATACGCTTTTGGTGACCAAGCACAGCTCTTTATACTCTTTATAGTTTAGAGTTTGCAATCAAAATCAGATGATTTAAACATATTTAATTGTTGACAAATAGACAAATGGATAAGAGACAAGTTCTTGCAACTTATGAACTCTTCTCCACAAATATAGCAGAGATAATATATTACAACACGTGACATATATTCATACAATAAACATAAAAATACAGAATTGTAGACCTAATGTTTAAATCAGTTTGTCAGCGGATAATACTGGAAAATTAAGAGAGAGAGAGGGAGAGAGAGAGAGAGAGAGAGAGAGAGAGAGAGAGAGAGAGAGAGAGATAGAGAGAGAGGGAGAGAGAGAGAGAGAGAGAGAGAGAGAGAGAGAGACAGAGAGAGAAAGAGGGAGGATGGGGGTTCATGGTTGACTGCATTTGGAAAGATTTAGGTAGCATCAAATCGTTTGGACTGTTGAATATATTCTTGAACTGATTTTATTATTTCGCAATAAGTTTGGTATGAGTAAGAGTTAATATCACCCCAGAATATGGTTTCTACGTTAAAAATTATGTCTAGGTCATATAGAGTATCAAACAATATTCGTCTACAATTAGAAAATAAAGCGCACAAAAGAAAATAGTGACTTGCGTCTTCAACGACGTCTCCACAAGAGCAATTTTGAGATTAACAAATTCCCACCCTAAATAAATCTGAGCGCAGTCCACTACAGTTGTTCCTTATTCGACAATGTATAACAGAGGAAACGGTTGCCAGAGTGTAGATAATCTGGAACTGAAATGTTTACAGGAGAAAGCTTAGATCTGAAGGTATTTAAGGCAGGGGATGCTTTTACAGAATTATCTACGTTATTCCACAAATTTATAGACGACGGCACAAAGGATTTTTTCATAGTATTTAGACGACTGTGGGGTATTTGGTAATTCTCAGGGTTTCTTAATTCAATGTTTAAGTCACGTCTGATGGGTGGAAGTAGATTTACCAAGTAAGAAGGGGATATCTTATTGTGTATTTTGTAGAACGTAGTCAATTTTGATTCCTCTCTTCTTTGTTTGAGAGAAACCCAACCTGTTTCACGATACAAAGACTCACGAGACGCTATGGATGTGAGACCAGTAACGATTCGTGCAGCCTCTGAATGCTAGTGAGTCGGACAAGTGTTCCGAACAGCCATCCCAAACACAAGAGGCGTACTCAAGAATGGGCCTAATAAACGATATATAAATAGTATTAAGAGTAGACTTATTTACCTTGTACTTAAGTTTTTTCATGGCACACACTTTTTGAGAAGAAGTTTTAATGAGGAGGTTAACATGGTCACTCCATTTGCAATTAATGCTAAAGGTTACACCCAAGTGACGATGCGAATCATTGAATTTAATGGGTTCACCATTGCATACCAAGTTTGGTTTGGCAGGGTTATTTCTAGGAGAAAAGATAAGTGCCTCCGTTTTAGCAGGATTGAATTTCATAAGCCATTGGTAAGACCAAGTTTGAAGATGATCTAGATCCTGATTCAGGGCAACTTCAATTTCATCTGAAAAAGCAGATGATTTTTGAAGAGAGGAATCATCAACAAATAATCTCACAAAAGTGTTCATGGGATCAGCTAAGTCGTTGATGTAAAATAAAAACAGCAAGGGACCCAGTACTGAACCCTGTGGTACCCCAGCCCTGACCGGCTTAAAAGGAGAAGTATTGTTTCCATATATAACAGATTGGTATCTATTGGTTAAGTAATTTTCCAACCAGGATAGTAACACTCCATCTATTCCATACTGATGGAGTTTGAACAAGAGACCATTATGCCAGACTTTGTCAAATGCCTTGGACAAATCGCAAAATACAACACAAAAATATTCATTATTATCCAAAGAGCTAACAATACTGTGATACATTTCTATCAACTTATAGACTGTGGAGTGGCCGGGAAGGAAACCAGATTGATACTTGTAAAAAATATTGTTGTCTCTAGCAAAGTTAAAAATATATTTAAAGACACATCTTTCCATAGTTTTTGACAAGCAACTTAGCAAAGGAAATAGGCCTATAATTTGAAGGAACATGAGCATCTCCTTTTTTAAATACTGGTAAAACGTGTGCTTTTTTCCATTCCGAAGGGAAAACAGCATCCCTTAGAGACCTATTAAATACTAATGTAAGAGGTTGTGAAATAGTTCTGGCTGTAGCTTTTAGCATTCGGTGATTAATCCTGTCTGGACCAACAGCTTTCCCTATATCAAGAGTAGATAAAATATCATAAACATCTTTTTCTTTAATCATAAAACTAGAAAGTGAATTAATGCAGTACTGGAGACAGAAGTGAAGTAATTATTGAGGATTTCAACCTTTTCCTGGTCACAAAATGCCATTTTGGTAATACCATTAATATCATATTCTAGAGGAAGTATAGAGCGAGGAGAGGAGGAGAAAAAGCTGTTAAGAATTTGCCAAAAGGTACGGGGATTTTCAGTTTCTGCCATAGAGACACGTGATTCCAAATTACAGAAGAAATCGGCCTTGGCCTTCTTTTTCACAGTCGATAGAAGGTGCATTAGAAATTAAATAGTGGCAATCTACTGATGATAACGAACCATTAAGCCCAATGTAGTCTGCCCTATTATAATTCCACACAAATCTCTCCTAAGATGTTTTACAATTATAAGAAAATGATAAATTTATAAAAGTCGCTTTATGATCACTAACAGTATTGTCTACACTGAAAGTCCCACTATCGAGACATTTAATATCCGAAGAAATAAATATAGGATCTAAAAGTGTAGCTGTGTCAGTGGTTACACGAGTGGGCTGTCATACAGCGTCTACCTTAATTTTTGTTTCAATCTAACATCTCCAGAAACATCCGTTTCTTTCTGAGTTCTGAAGCGTTCTACATTTACGTTTTTGTAATTTGAGGTTTTGCATGTTGGTGTAAGTAGTAAAAAGAACATTGAATAATAGAAAATAAAACTGCTCTACTTGAATTTGGCTGTTGATTTGAAACAAAAACGATAAAACCCCGCTGAATGCTGATCGCAACATTTCAAAATAAAATAATTATGTAACCAACTGCAAGCGTAGTTTGTTTAGCAGACACCGGGTTGTCAGGAAAAGAATACTGGAAGCGTCAGCAAGCTGCTTTCAAGGAATTAACTGAACCTACCATCTTCGGTCCACCGCTCTTGGTTTGCAAGACATTTCTACTTGTCAGCAAAGCTCGGTGAAAAGCACAAATAGTTGACATCTTCTATTTCTTATGGAAACACCGTCTACTACTGTGTTGCAAAACACCGGTTTTGTAACATGCCGTATATAACCCGAAGGATAAGGTCGTTGTAGGAATGCGATCCAATGCGTTCTTTTCGTATGTAATATGCAAGGCACGTGAACCGCTTACGTTTGAGCGGAAACGAAGCATATCTTGCAACAAATAAGCGAAAAAGGACATTTAATTCCGGAAAAACGAGTGATATTAATAATTTATGGTTAACAAGAAACTTATTAGAATAAATATATAGTCTATCAAGACTGTGTCTAAATTCCGAATCTACCATTGAACGTGTAATAAATAAACATGGAAAATGAATTGTGCTACAACGGCCATAGAGCTGTACGTTTAGGTAGGAAATTAAGCAATTTTCACATTTTCATTTGACAATTGTATCTTTGCAAAACGAAGAAAGGGTTTACCATTACAAACAAAACATACTGAATGATCATATAAAATAACTAGATAACTGATAAATGAAATACCATATTCCATAAAAGATAATGATGAATAAATATATGAATAATTTATGTACGCGTTACGGAATTAAAAAAAAAAAGTAAATATTTCATACTGTGTGGTTTTAGTTATATTTAAAAAATGATATATCGGATAAGGCGTTCCATTCTGGGCACATTTGCCATCTTAATTTCCTAAATTATGAATAATAAAAGAGGTATAGCACTGACTCTGCTAATGTATAATAATAGTAAATTATTAAGAGTAGAAAATATCTAATAAGGAAGTTATCTTTAATTTAAAGCCCGCCAATCTATCTCTTTGGTCTCTTTGGGATTTGTTTTATATCGAGGTATCAAATAGCTATATATAGCACATTTGCATGTATATTACTTATATTGAAATGTGTTCATCAATACGGAAGTCTATTGCTTTCACTTCGGAATTTTGAAACGTTATTCCAGTGATTTTCGAGTCATCGCGAAAGTTCGTGTAATTGTCTCAAAAGTTTGGGTAATCAATGAAAATAAATTTTGTGTTATACAATGTACAAGAACCAAAATAAAACAAAAACCTCCGAGTAAATAATAGCTTCGTAGCAATGAAGCATATCACTCATTCAACAATGACTCTTCTAATTACTTCAATGTTATAAATATTTACATACAGAGCAAACAAGGAACAAAGTTTCCATTAAGTTGCAAGTATTTCTCATGTGGTTACTTTTCCGTATCTTGTTGGTAGTCCTTCTACTACCAGATCCATTTGCTATGGCATTTCTTGTTACTAATATCACGATAACTGTGAAGATATCAGGAGATGCAGATTGATGAAGACTATTTAGAAGGTTGATGGTCGCCATTTCTTTTACGAATTTTGTTAAAATATGGATCTAGTACGCTTCTCCACGTAGATTTTTTTAAATATCACTTTTGATTGTCCTCTTGGGTTTGGAATTTAAGCCCTAACAATCACTGACGAATCCTTGAAGGATGAAACAGCTGTATGACGCGATTTCATCTCTAAATTTGTAACAAATAGTATTATTCACCCGAGTATCTTTTGTACAGTATTCGAGATGGCAGGTGGAAGACAATGATGCTGGACGTTTTAGTCCACTAAGTTTGACGACGTAACCTGCTTCCAAACCTTTAACTCATTCAAATAGAGGCACGGTTCAGAATATACAAATGCACATTGAGTTGTTTTGAAAATTTTAAGGATATGAAAAAAAAAGAAATCTATCGAATAAGCTAGGTCACCTCTCCATCTTGATTTTCACATTTCTTCTGATCGCTTTAGATTTTCCTCAGCCGCCACCTAGGTTTCAAAATTTATGTCCTTAAATTACCGTCACTGACGAGTTCTAGAAAGATGAAACAGCTTTCTGATGCCATGTAAATCATTATTTGGCACCTCAGTATCAAATTTTACAATTATATTAAAAGGTGCCATCAATTTGTGTGTCGTACAATTTTAATTGTGCTCAGTACTCGTGAACTCGGTTGACCTAGATTTACATGACCGGTATCGTCGATGCAACAGAAGAAATTAATTTTTACAGAACACCAGGTGTTATTCTCCTGCAAGTCTTTTTTTCTTCTTAAGTCTAGCTCACGTTTCACCAAAATTGAAATTAAATGGAGATTATTTCGTTAATATATCAAGCAATGTGTTTTTCATTCATTTCCAAGACGACATGCCAGTAACAAAATGTAGCGTACTACTTCCAATTTTGAATAGATAGGTACTAAAGCAAAGCCTGTCCTCAAAATTTAAAGCGTATTTCTACAAGACAAGATTTTTTTATCTATGATTAAGTTGGCCACTCTTCATTCAACAATGATTTTTAGATGATTAGATAAATAAGGAAATGTTAGACTTTGGCAAAGATACGCGGAAAAGTGACACTTGGTTTTCTCGACATACGCAAAACATGTTTCCATGCAAGCGAATAGTGCGCGTCCATTAAACTATATCGCTAATCTAAAATAGGAACATTTTTCAGCATTTGATAAGATGCACACATGCATAAACCGATAAAGAGTTTTGATATCATAGAAAGTCTGATGGAATTTGGAAACATTCTAGCGTATACCATAATGGTGACAATACCAGAGATATCGTAACGTTCTTTACGCCCAGGATAACTTTAGCGTAGCGACACGCATGAAGTCTCAAAAATATAATTATAAAGTAAGTCAATATATTGTCAGAACATTGATATTTATTTCTGGGGTACACATAATCCACGAAATCATATGTCCACGAACTGTAATGATATATTTATCAACGAAACTGGCATATGTGAACGAAATATATTCTTTTGTTTCTTTTTGTTTGAAAAAAAACCCACGAAAATTGAGGTCCACGAACCATTATGTTAAAGTATAAGATGCTTAAAACTATTACATGATTACAGGTGAGGATACGCATTTGTATTGTAAAATGATTACATGAACCAAACAAATGAAAATAATAAAAAAAAAATACTTATTGTACTTTGTGCTTATTGAATTTATTATTTCAATAGTAATATTTATTAGAAAACATCATACAGAACCTTACAAATTTATTTGTAAAATAGTTTAATGTTAAAAAGAGTACAGTAAAATGGAACGTTGATAGGCACAGCACATGAAATGTTACTTAGGTGTGATTTTGATACCAAGTTCATGGATTCACATAAATGTCTCAATACTCTAGTGTTATATAGGATTATTTCAGCAAAAATGGTGGTGAATATCACACTTTACGGCTAATACACAAATATACATGAGTAACGCTTTCCCAAAATGGCTGTATAAATACAGAAAAGAACATTTACGAGGAACTTACGAGAAAATTGACAAACACAATTTCGTTAAGTGAAAATAAACATTTGCTCACGTACTCCATTTTCCTTAACGGTCATAATGACACCAACATTATGGTAATGACGTGATAAATACAAATCGCAAAAGTAAAAACTAAGCTCTCATTACAATGTTTAGATATACCTGTATAACTTTATTTAAATAATTTGAAGTAATACAAATGCTATTTTTATTGTGAAAAAAATATATTTATCAATAACATATGTAAACAATTTCTCTTCACCCTTACTTTGCAAAATAAAGAGAATACAATACGCGTAGTATAACTATAGATACTATTTAATCAGGTGACCACTAGTTTATGACGTCATAGTCGAGACCCTTGTTACAACAATAATTTTGATGCTCAAAGGACTTTCCAGAATGACATTACGTGGTTACACAACTAAATGATATGAAACTAAGATATTAAATTGTATCCATCAGCAATGAATGTTAGCACAAATGGGTCACTTTAAATCATATTGCTTCTATTGACGAATTAACCTATATAAAAAAAATCCACTATACCAAAGTAACATAGTTGTCACCAAGGCAGTTCGCAACTTATTTTCAGTGTTTTTCGGCCTTTTGATACAAGACATAATGTTTCTCATCTACTCGAACATACGCATGCGTACAACCAGAGCTGTCCTTCAGCCCAAATACATTGAACTTGTTGATAACATCTACAGCACTGCATACCATGTAATCAATATTACAGCCAAGTCGACTGAAAAACCAGAAACATGAATGTCTATATGCTAGAATACACGATGTTTTCTGCGGGAAGCCGAACTAGCGACCTTCAATCACTAATTTGATGTCCAAACGCTTGTCCAACGTGCCTCAGATCAGACCCTTCTAAGGTATATCATCAATATACGCATATATCTATTTACATTTACAACCATATGTATGTAATATGCCTATAATATCATTTGTAGAAAAAGACATACATTGCTTAAACTGACCTCTGTTTTGATCTGTCCTTTATTATAATCCATATATAATATCTACATCATCATGTTAATAGAAAAAAGTTAAATTGTCATTCGCACTTCATAGGTCGATGACTTCATATGCTTGGAAATATTATTCCCGCAGATTATTATTTGTTTTCAATATAACCCACGTATCCTTAACCAATAGCTATATCATCATGATTATGATGTGCTGAGGTATGTTTCAATTATCACGATTCTCTCAGGATATATACTGACAGAAAATGAGCTTACAATAAAGGGATATACAGGTTGTTGGAGACTACGTAGAACATTTATAGTGAACATCACAATGACATTGAAAAGTAGGATATTTCCTTGTGTGATATGAATTTGATGCTAAAAAGACCTAGTAATTATGTTGTCACTTCTCTTTTTGGGAGCGTTACATTATTATCTAGAATGGATATGAAACACACAAACGACTCACTATTCCAGAATTTGGCCCTGCTTCCCCTTCCCGATTTCTTTCACCATAAAATCATTCTTTTGTTGATAAGCAATTCAAATTAATATCGACGGCCCATATTGCCATCAGTTAATAGCTCTAGTAAAAGTTAAAAGTGTCTTTGTTTTCTTTTTTTAATTTTATATCTTCACTTTCGATTAAAATGTATGAAACAAAAATGACAGTTTTCCACTGATAAGGATAGTAGTCATAGTTGAATCAACTTCGTGTACGTTTACCTTATAAAAGACATAAATTAAGATATGATCACTGGGTCTTGATGCCACGCCCCATGATCCCTATTGTAAAACGACAACTTACTTATACGAACCTCGGGGTGTGAATAAGCGCCAAGTCCACGTGAACATGACACATGCAATGTCAGAGTTGTTTTATACATTTGTTATATTACTGAGATCATTGGTGTTGCTTAGGATAAATTCACAATATCTGGATTGGTGCAAGACTCACGTTACCCTATAAAAATGTTTTCAATATGATTCCATTTATTGCTATTATATACAGTGTATATAAAGCATAGTAGTTCTTAGACAGTAGATATATTTGCATTAATGTGTAATTCTAATTGCGATGGCGACAGCTTCCGCGGGTTCTACTGCTAGATCATCAACGCAAATCCCTTGAGATAGGTTTTAACTTTATATACTGTTGCATCTGAGACTGGATGGAATACATGAAGGAGTGAAAATTTGGGTCGCTCATCGCCTCTAAGTATAAAATTTATAACCGCAAGGCATTCTTTTTCAATTCAATTTTAAGCAAATGGAACGTCTAAAATATTTTCATTACAAAAATGACTTTTTAAGAAGTTTCACAACGAAATTTTCATTTCAACCACCTATTTTTTACCTCCAAATCACTCGGTATCCAGATAACTTGGATATGATATTTTGGATTGCATGCAATATTGGACTGAACTGAAAGTGTCTTCCTGGCAAAATTGAATCGTCAATAATTGGAAGATTATGACTCAAATTGGCACCCTTTGTATTTAAAACAATGGCATACAATATTGTTGGTTACATAGGTACCGATAGATCGGTACAGCTGTACCCTCTACTAAGTGACTCAGGGCGATTTGGAAGCTTTTCTTTACTATAGTGCTCTACAAGGCGTTCTAAGGTCTTGAAGGAATTTTTGTGATCAATACTGTACTGCCCATCCTGAAAATATAAAAGAAGCAATGATTCATGCACGAGTCCATGTCATACTTTACATATACTAAACAGTTCAAGAGGATGGTGTGTTACTTTTAATTTGTCTTAAAATACCCGCATCGCATTATTATCATTATTATGCAATTCGTGTTCATTGAAAAAAAATAGTCTAAAACTTTCCAATTACTATGAAGTTTAGTGTAGAGTGTTTTCGAGAACGGAACGAAACTGCAAAATAGACACTGAAAAATAGATAGTAAGAGAGAACAACAGTCTGGTCTGACTTTCCCGGAAATGAATCTAGTTTGTTGGGTATTTACGGCGAAATCGTGAAAATTTGAATAGTAGGAAAAAAAACCCTTTACAGTAACAATCAAAGTCTTTACGGGATGTGTTTTCACCAAATTTTATAGTGTAGAGTAACAGAATATGTTAAAACCTGATGAAAGAATCAGACCAATTTTAAACTAAACAGGTTTTAATTCATAGTAAGCATGAGAAGTATCGTGGTACATGTAATATACATGTATTATGGTAAGAAGAGGTAGCTGATAGTATGTTGTCCAGAAATTAAACGTTTTTAGCACTTTTTAAGTGATTGCTCAAGGCTTTAAAATAATTTGATAGATATGTTTTCTTTATTGTTACGCTGAAATAAAAATCAAACAAAAAGAAGATATAATTCTCATCTAATATCTAATCAGATTGGTTAACGTTCGCAATTAATAGAAAATAAAGTGCAGCTTTAATTGGTGCACAAATCGTGTCAAACTAACATGAAAAGACCGTGCAAGACACACAGGTGAAAAGAAGCTTTTAATACAAATTTGGAATTAGAGACAATACAACCAAACTTGAATTTCAGTAAGGATATCATTATATATAAAGGAATTGCTAACTGTTTTTCAACTCAAAACTTCTTCCTTGTCAAACGGAGATACGTGTAAGAAAATCTAGGCAGTATTGATATTAGAAGTTATTAGATTCATATAGAAATAAGAATTCTCTAGTGTATGTTACCAAGATGAAAACATTACCTTTCGGAATATTTTGAATTCTTTCATGCCGTCAACAGTTTGCACCGACAATACCTAAACAGAATGAAGATCTCATTAAGCATCTTCTACATGTGCGTAATTTGTTAAAACATGTGTGCCAATTTAACAACAGACAGAAAATTATGATTTCATTACTCAAAAGTTTTGCCATTACAATATTTTCTAAAGAACGGAAAGAAGATATTTAATGTATCTGGTTAAGTTTACACTGAAATAAAAACTGGTTCTCATAACTTAATAACAAAAATGCAACGTAACACAATTTTAATGTGTATATGTCAAAAAATCAATATGAAACAGCAACATTTTCTCATTGGTCATAAATTCATGACGTCATCATGTTCTTTTGACGTAAACTTGTACAATGAGTGATGTTATAAGCGTGTATACTACATATAGTAAATAGTTTGTGATAGTGTTATAAAAAACGGACTTTTTATCATGACAAATAGTTCATGTACACTGGTATCAGTACGTTTTGTTTCAGAAGCATAACTAATACAAAATATGATTGAATTATTTTCATGGTAAAATCCTTGATTTCATGCCGGTGTTGAGAGAGAAAATCACGACGTTGATTTCACATTGTAATAAATATACAACTATGAATATGTATTATTTGTATATATTGTCTGAATATGTTAACCTGAATTCAATTTCAACTCTTAGTACGATCAGCTCCAGTATTACAAAATTAGATTTTGTGTTAATCAAATGGGCGAAAGTTTACCTCATTATCGTTGGATCTTGACTTCCTGACTAAATACGTTCCTTGCGTTTTTTTTGAAAGAATTCTAAAAATTATGCAAAACATACAAATTAGTAAAAAACAAAAAAGCAGAGCGTATGGTACCTTTAACACGCGTTGATATAATTCTTTCAATAAAAAGATACCCTTAAAGGAGGATTTGTTTTACCGATTTAATTACTTAAAAACAATAATAAATGATGTTGATTTACTTATCACAAAAACTTCTCATCCAGTCTTCTTCAAGAAATGTTACGATGCAAGCTGCAGCATGACCTACTGCATTTGTAGGAATCTTTTGACTTTCATATAAATTATTGAATGCAGAATAATAATACAATTTTGATACATGACTATTTCTCAATTATTAACATTTCCCGGTAATACACTGATTATACCAATCACAGCACTTTAGAAGTTTGATGAAAAGAAATACTAAATGTATTAAATACAGACCAATATCATGCCACCACTGAATAAAGTTGGGTTTGACGATATTCTTATCAATGTTTCTGTTGGTAAGTGTCCGTAACGCACTTCGTTTTGGTAAACTATAGTAAATAGAAAACAATTGTAGTCAATTGAAAACAACTTACGTTTCCACTTGCACACGATCTGAACTATCGAACATGAAGTCGTCCTTGGATACTTGTCTCCGCTGCAAAGTAGATTTTACAGTTAAGCATGTATAACAAGTGATATTTTGGAATGTAAATGCACACTGCTCTTGTTGAAGTAAATGTTTTGTATAACAAAACAAGATTATTTGGAGACATCTTTTACAAAATTAAAAAAAAGACTTTCGAAATGAAAAAAAATTGACACAACACAATAGCTATTTCCTTTAGTTTGGCAGGTGTTTTTTTAAAGCGGGAAGATATGGAAATCTACTTTATGGTTAAATTATATACCAAAAAGTATGAAAGTGTAATGGAAATGCTATATATTTAAAAACGTAAAACACCTCCCGACACATAGGAATATGAAAATGACACTTACAAGATTAGGTTTTGCTGCCGGTAGAGGTTTTGCAGCCTTTGGCTTCTGTGACAAATGATCTTTTGTAGTCTTTTGTTCATCTTTCGGGATTTCTGTTGTAAATTAAAAGCAAACACATGTTCTTGCGAAGAATTAAAAGATTACAAACTGATGATACAAAATTTCAGTGTAACTGTCAAAAATGACATTTTTCGAATTCAGTAACTATTTCTTGTTGGAATAAGCGGTGAACCAAAGTAATACAAAAAAGTACATATAACAAAAGCAGAGACATGATACTCAGATCAAAGGAAAGTATGAGGTTCCATGTATTACATCTTTGGAATATTACAGTTTTAACATTGAGGATCGCGATATGACCCAATGGTTATATATTGGTTTCTTCTTTTTCACCTGGTAAAGGTGGTCTTCCCCTTATGATTGACAATTCTCCCTCAGCTATCTTATCGTAGTCTGAATCATCAGATTCCTGATCGAATCCTGGTTCTGTAAACAAAATAACGGTACAATAGGAAAAAAGTAGTCAGTGATATTGAACGAAATAAAAAAAGAACATCAGCAAAACGTAGTCCAATTTCATAATCGACATAAGGACGGAAAATATAAAGAGATCAGATTTACATGGAGAACCCTGAAAAGTTTAATAAGACCACGCGTTCCGGTAGAGTACGTGTCTTCTGTTTCATCGAAGATACCCACCATGAAAAATGGAACCCAAGTATTTAACAATCAAACCACCAGGTATATTTACGTGATCTGAACACAAAGACGTTTATTTCCATTTTATACTGCAACCATTGAAAATTAAAATTGGACGTTTTAAGATAAAAAAGAAAGTAATCATAAATAAAATAGAAACTTCTTTCATCGTTTACATATATTATAAGAATAATTTCTTCATTTCATTTCATGTTCCAATCTCATTAAAAAAGCAATTTCTAAATCTTAAAATTTAAGTCTTAAAATAGTTTAGAATTCATAAAAGATTTTAATTAGATATCGAAATTGGTGTACCTGGTAGTTTCCTGTTGGTTTTTGGTTTTGAGGCTTGTGGTCTAGGAGGTATCACAGGAGGATAAACTTTGATCTTAACCTGTTTTTCAAGGTAAGTGTATTCATCTTCCGGTTCGTCGTCACCGGTCGGTCCGAGTCCACTTTCTGAACTAAAAGAACATTATTATTTTGAATTTCAACGTTTAAATTTCATTTTCAAAATGTTGTGCGCATATATCAAACACAATTATAACATATATGTTTACACAAAACAATTTTTCAAGGAGACTCATCTTTACTGCATATGCACAACATACGAGTGATATTTAGTGACAAGAAAACGAAAGAAAAATTTGAAGAAGATACAGCACTGTTAAAATGAATCAGCCTCATCATAAAGTGGTGTCGTCCTTACATGACTTGTCAGCGATGCTAAGGGCCTAAAGTTTTAAAACCGAGGAGACGAGAGGAAAATGAAATTCTTGATAGCGAGACGCAATTACTTTATAATTCAATAAATTTCATGATTTTCATATTAATGAACTCAAGATTATCAATTTTCGCGAAGAATTTATTTGCGTTGATTTTGTGGAAACTCTTTCCACATATATGAGGTTTGTTCTAATTGACTTCATGAGTACTCTTTATCTATGAATTTATCTGTCCATCTACTGTCGATATAAGTATAAATTCAGTTATATTAATCTACGAAATCAAGTGCACACGAAGAAGTGATTTTTTTCGGGAAAGCCCACAAACATTGAGCCCATGAAAACATATGATTTTAGAGTATCTGTAATCTTATAGAACTATAACAGAAATTGATTCTTCTTCAAAAGTTAATTAATATCGGTGACCCCTTGCCGTTGCAGACTCACTCATCATCTTCATCTTCAGCTTCATTGGCTAACATCATTTCTTCTTTAAGACTTTTCATCCATTTCTGAAACAATAAAGACATTAAAGATCATGTGGAGAACTTGGAAAGGACAAGAAATTCAACGTTATTGTAGAAGATTCATAAAAATCTATAAAATAGAATGATGTATTTGCAATTTATTTGTTCTAGTCAAGATTAGTGAATTAAAATTTTTAAATTAAGAAGACGAACGTATGGGCATAGTACCAAATTAGAACCATGATTCAAAAAGTCTCAAACGAGACCTTCTGAACACATGAAGCGATTTAGGAAAATAATCATTACCTTCGAAATGATACCACAAAGTTTTTTGTCAGTTAAACGCAACATGACAACGACACTTTTATTAGATGGATTACACAAATGACATTACCAATAACAATAACTTCTTTGTTATCCTTGCATGTATGCTACTTTCAGGCAATGTACGCATGTCGTTATATATCATAATCAAAAATGAAACATAAACAAGAAAGTAAGATGGGATCCATTTGTGTAGACCGACTGTATGAAAGAATAAACATAATCTTTCAATACAAATTGAGAATAATATATTGAAATACTGCACCATACAGGTATATTGCCCTTATAGAACGAGCTTGTCAGTTATGAAACCTCGGAGGAGGAGGAGGGAAATCATAATTGATCGAATGAAATGTCAAAATTTATACAGTGAGGTGCACTAGTCTTATAATTATACAAAATTGCCTAATTCTGATATAATATCACAGAACATGTAAAGGTTACATATGTATGCTTCATTGTGGTAGTTTAATTATCTATTTGTAACTAAACACCATCCATTTTGTCTTTCATTTTTAAAAATGCGTTACATGGATGCCACTTGTTCCTTGCTATCCGTCATTTTTAAGTCTATCTTTCTTCGACCGCCACCCACCCCGAAACCGCCACCAATACACATTACCATAATCGCAGAGAAGGATAATTAATTGTAAAATGGAATGCTATTATAAAACAGATAATACATAATAATGGCACTGAGGTATGAGATTAAAATTCGAAGATAAGACATTCGAATTATCATAGCATGCAATAAATTAATGACACGTGCATTAAAGATTATCTGTCAGTTAAAACCTATATTTCCTGTCAAATGAAGATGTCCATGACATGTAAGTGAGGTTGGCATTACCTTCCGATCGCCATCAGTTGCGGAACCGAATATAAACTGTTTGCGTCCCGGTTGTTCTTTGGAGTAAAGTTTAAAGCTTTTCATGCGTTCGGAGTAATTTTCTTTTTCTCTCACAACACTGGAAAATGATATTATATGATATATGAAAAAAATTAAGGTTAAGGGATGCGTTTGTAGTTTAGTGAAAAGCATGGTGTTTTTTTATAATAAGTACAAAAATAATCATTCACCAATGGAGGAGAGATATGGCAATCTCAATCCTCGAGATCAACTGTTTAATTGCAAACACTGTACAAGCCTCTTTTTGGCCAACTTCATACTTCCTTATCTCAGTCTTAGAGGGTGATATATATACTATTTATTCATAAACTGGTTTATCAGAAAAGGTAGTGTAAGCTTATAGTTATTTTCTGTTTGGTCGGAACGAAAAAGTTTCTCTGTAACACATTGATTCTCACTTCGGAACAATAACTTTATGAAATATACTCGCCGCTTATCACAATGAAGGGGTACAATTGTCACCAAACAAATTTGTGCGTATAATTTGAGTTTTAATGGGTATATCAAGAATATGCTGTGACACAGATAAAAGTTAAAGGAACGACAAAAAAATACCAACATGTGAACAAATTCATAATACAAAATAAATTCAATAAAAGTAGGGCGATTAAAAGAATTATTTACATGAGAACTCCTGAAAAAGTACAAGGAGAATAAGACCAGGTGTTAGCAAAAGGTAAGCGTCTTCTGCTTCATCAACAATACCAGTTGTGTAAATCGTGGTCAATTCAATAAAGCAATGTCACATTCTTAAACGAAAACATTGTATATACAGCAACGGAACGAACGAGCATTAAAAACGTCCAGCTTTATATTGCACAATTTGTTCACATATTGAAAATAACCACTCCTAGAGCCACTGGTGCCCATATCAAACAAACAGGTAATATGCCACTTCTCACAACACGATTCCACTCATGGAAAAAAATTCTTGTGTCATATGATATTTAAAAAACATCTGTTTAGGTTACATCTGATTCAACAAGAGTTTATAGTACAAGTTGCTGTAACTTATTTTAGCGATTGTGGTAAAATAAATAAAGTTTATATATTTCGATAGGTAATAAATACATGAAAAGAGAAAATAAGAAGAAAAAAAGACCCCCTCACAAAAAAATGAAAAAATAGATAGAAAAAAATGAAAAAATAGATAGAAAAAAATGAAGAAAATGATAAAAAAAAAACAAAAAAAAACCAGAATGTTAAAATAGAATCAAATATCAATACAGTACTTTCTGCACTAATACATGTATATTCCAGAATGACATACAACATCAATTGTGAAAGAATCACGTTTGTAACACATTGCCATACTAAATTTACGAAAGGCGCGAAGCTTTGGCGAGGGGTCTGGGGGCTCTCCCCCAAGAAAATTTTGAAAATTTTGGCTCCATTTCCTGCATTTTGAGCGTATTTTGATAAGTCGATATAATGTATTGAAATAAATCAAAGATTATTATTATTATTTATTATTAGAAAAGATACAAATGGAAACAAAATAATGTCGGACTACATGTACATAACAATATCAGTAAATGACAACATACATAAACATCAAAAATCAGCATAGACTACTGCTCAGGTAAAAGAAACGAGTTGGTTAGGGTGAAATGGAGAGTTAGCTGGCGTTTTCTTTTCGATCAACAATATTCAAGCTCAAAGCTGTCTTGCACCCCCTTCCCCCCATTAAAAACTCAACGGATTTACACGTTTCAAGAAAGTCACCTCGGGGGGGGGGGGGGGGGGGGGGGAGGCAGTTGCCCCCATTTGCACCCCCACCCCCGCCCTTGCCTACGCCAGTGTCCATAATTACTTTTATTTTGCCTTCCCTGTTTACTGATATTAAAAAGGTTAACTTACTGGTCGTATCCCCTGAGTGATACTGATTGGAACGGCGACGTAGAAAACTCATCGTTATAAACGTATAAACACCCCTTGGAAATCACTGCAAACTTTTGACGCCCTATGGAGAAAGGAGATATGGTATAGATATTCGGTCAAAATTGTTTACCATTTCAAACCGTTTTCGTAACTGTATTCAAATGATAACCATACCTAGCATTCTGATGTAATCGTCTAACTAACTGTGTAAGTTATATACCAAATATGCATCTTTTTAATATCCAAATTATGCGAATTCGAAAATTATAAATCAATAATATTTATTTATAAGTATGTGAACTGAAGACCTACAAAAATGAAATGATAATTAGAAACAGGCAACAGCTTCTGCCTGTTGATTTGCCTGTGAAATAACATGACTAGGACTATATGTGAGGAAAATGAATTCATATAAATAGGACGAACAAAGTATGTATAAACCATTAATAGGATTTCAATCAACTTACATTTCGTTATAATTAATTTTATAACCGGCAGACTTTCTAAGGTTCTCTCTAGTTGCCCGCGTTTTCGGATGAATCCATAATATTTGACTCCTAGCATTAATAGATCCTGAGCTCCTGTAAAAATGTGGACAAAATCTTTAATAATTATAATTTCTTTCCGTAATAGGATGACTAAAGTTATATTTTCCCATTGACGATACATGTCCAAATGTACGATTGATTTAAGAAACGCGAATGTGCAGTTAACATATTCGTATAGGTAAACTAAATACATCAGGTCATCTCCAAGCAGTAAAGAAAATTCATATCTTGTGGTCTTGTAAAATTGATCACATCCTCCATTCATATGACTCGGTAGATAACATGAATTGTGTTGGTCTGAAATTATCACCCGAGCCTCGAAGTGAAATTTTTTGTGTTATAATTCATTGCTCTTTATTATCCTCCATGAAAAGGCCTCCTTTTTATTGACACTCCATTTTCTCTCATTTCTTTCATTTTTAAAACAAAAACATTTGTTGAAATATCATGATTTCTTGGCCAAAAATGTATTTAAAAAACAAGAGGGAGGAGTTTTCTGCCTAGCACATGTGGTTTCAATAACATTCCCTTACATCATAATATTTATATATATATTTGTACTTTTTCTTCAACTTTAATTCTAAGCAAAATAATGTCCGTCATTAAAAATAATTGAAAATAAAAAGGAACTAATTCAATTTTCCCCAGTAAATGGAATCAAGTGAATGTTTACATAAATATACTTGTATATGGATATAGATAATTTAATTCTATTTCAAATCTGGAAAAGAAGGAATTGAGGAAAACTTTCAAAATAAGGGATTTTCTTCAAATAAAAAAGAAGCAGCCATTTAAAATTACAAACGTGTGGAGTTCCATGAAAACTACATTATAAAATCTTGTCATAGCATTTAGATTTTGTAACAAAGTTGTGAAGGTACGCTTTCATCTAAAATTTTATCATTTCATTGACATATAATAAACATTATGGCAAGATAGTTCAACACTTATATTTGCATTCCTCAAACAATTTGCTGTCTTATGTAAGCAGAAACTAGATCGAATAAAAAAAAGTATTGCCGATATCTTTATACTTGTGACGGATCAGAAATTCGACTAGTCTTTGCACTTCATGAACATGCATTCGATAATTTACATTGCACTTCTTTCAAGTTAATTTGTGAAAAAGTGAACACACAGGAAAAGCTTGATTTATTCCATTACGAGGTGCTTTATCTCTAGCCATCGCCGAAGTGTCATTATGGCTTTCAAGATTAATGAATGTTATTGACATTTTTTACTTATCAATGCCATGTAATAACTTCTACGTGTTTTTGGTAAATAGTCAAAAAGTGAAAAACGTGTTAAAATTTTAATGATATAGACTTTTCACTGCAAATATCCATCCATACAAAGCAGCCAACGTAGACAGAATGTAATAATAATATCAGCATTGGACAGAAGTTTAAAGATTATATTTTCAATACCTGTTCACATCCTAATCTCACATCATCACCCCATCACCTATTGTAATATATATCTATAATAGTAGTTCTTGCATTCGTCATTGCCATATTTTGTTGTTATCACGTGATTTAGTTGTGAATCGCTTACATCTTAGGTATTCATTAAGGAGAGGACTTGAGTTAAAATAAGAAATGATATTTAAACCAACTGAAAATGTCCATTAATTCTTTTTTACTCAAGTGATAAGTAAAGACGATAGAGAAGCAGGTGAACACAAAAATATACCCCATGGATTCACAATGCAATTAATTCGATATATTCATAAGTACATACGTAACACGACTCACCTATCGTTGTCTGTGGTTGCAGAAAGACATTTGGTGGAACTGTTCCGTCACCACTCATCCTCAATATAAATCTTTAGTGACTTCCTGCTTTGTTCTAAACATGGGATATACATCTATACTCTCCGGCAGTCTGAAAGGTAAGCATTAATATAATAAACTTTCATTCTTTGAACCTGGTACAATTTGCTGAGTAATGTTTGAAATACTTCCTGAATGATATCTTTGTATTGTTAGTGTACATTCTGAGGTAAAAGTTACTTCCGGGATTTTTTCCACCAGAATTCATAACAAAGCTGAAAGTAAACTTCGCAAATTCGACATCATTCCAAATGAATAATGATTTCGGATGGTTTGTTGTGTTTAGTATTAAAGTTTTATGTCTTAAATTACCTTTTTTCTTCTTATCTACGGATTTTTTTCTATTGATGTACATGTATAATACTTGATATATGTTTTATCAATATGTATTAGTGGACATGAGTTCAAGGATTGTACCTAAGAAGGAAACGAATGAAAATGAAACAGACAAGAACACTGTTCACAAACTGCCGTATTAGTTTTCACTGCAGGAATAGGAAAATGTATATTTCAAAAGTACATTCAGTGTGTAATGATAATGTTATATGAAAATATGGAACATAAACAGTTGAATATTTAAGTTTCAATAGGACGAGCAACATGTGTGCCATGTATATCTATATGTAAGTGTGTTCAATATATATATATATATATATATATATATATATATATATATATATATATATATATGTGTGTGTGTGTGTGTGTGTGTGTGTGAATGTTTAAAATGTACAAACTTTTTTTTGCAATGGCTGCAAAATAAAAAAAGTTTGCATATCATATTACACTTTTAGTGGAACGGACAAATAATTTATAATAATCAATTTGACACGTGATCCTGCAGATGTTATCGGTTACATAGACCTATACCACAGTTTTAAAACCAGTTTATTGTATATGAATAAATGCTGATATGCACCATAGCTTTCAACAATACCTGTATAGTATATAACCGCACTGGAGATAACTCGACATACTTCAATGCACAAAGTAAGATACTCAAATATATATTAGGATTACCATAGTAGTATATTATAGTAAGTTTAAACAGGAACTCAAACCTAAAGACGATACTAAGTATATAGTATATCTTTTCAGTATTGATCTAGAGGTTTAATAGTAAAAACTAGCCCATCAAATATTGTATTTACAAAATGTGATACAGCAGAGTATACTACTTAAGTGCACAATAGCTACAAAAATGTGGACTTGAATTTTACACGGTGATAAGGTTAGCGATTTGGTGATTTAAAAAATGGAATGAAATTGCTTTTCAGTTTGTTGATATATATGGAACGTAAGTGCATTTGAATGTCTGAATGCATCTAGCTATTTACCTATACCGGCGACGACGGGTGTTTCTCACTAATATTGGTACGATCCATTTGGAAGTCAGCGACTATCTCATATCTCAAAGAACGTCAGATTAAAACATGTCTGTCGTCAATTTTACAGAATAAAACTTCCTGGTGCATATTTACTCTAAAGCATTATGATACACACCACCTATAAGCTTCTCTGTGACTAAGATCTTTTAAAAAAAATCTCGCAGAATCTATTTATATGTTTCTCATATCTCAAAAAACGTCAGATTAAAACATGTCTGTCGTCAATTTTACAGAATTAAACTTCCTGGTGCATATCTACTCTAAAGCATTATGATACACACCACCTATAAGTTTCTCTGTGACTAAGATCTTTTAAAAAAAATCTCGTAGAATCTATTTATATGTTGTCTCAATATTGATAACTTTGTTTAGGAATGGCAATCTTTAGATATACGGGTAACATATTCCGGCTATACAGAGGAAAACTAACAATTCTTTATGTGTATAAGTTACAATGTCGGTTAGGTGTATAGGAATGCGTGTGTTTGGCCTACGTGTACACAAACATACAGGTATGTCTGAAAAATGGGGACACATTGAAAGCACATTGAAATATTTAGATCTTTGGTGTATACACCGTTGTCATTATTCACCTCATATGGTCGTTTTGACAAAACAAATACCTGTCAAATAAGTTAAATTAAAATTCGATATTTACATGTAGGTATACTAATTCGATCTACGGTAACAAAACTTTACATTTGTATTCGATTGTTCGAGTGCACCCAAGCGGTGACGGACATCTTACATAAAGTTTAAAAAAACAAGGTCGGTCGACACTAGCTTTTAGGTTTTTTTTTAGGTTATTGAATAGTTTTGAAGTAAACAAAGAATTTATTACATGCGACAACTGAATAACAGCATACATCTCCCCTAGAACAAACATAAAGAGGAGACGAGTTATATATACAATGTTTTTTTAAAGATAGTAGTGAGGATTTCAGTCTTCTTCACCAAGTGATCTGATTGTGACCTGCGTTTTTTGCTTTGCTTTGTTTTGTTTTCTTAATGGTTTTCAAACTAGCACGTTTTAGTATATGACTTTGATGTTACTAATAATGTTTTCGTAATGATAAGGTTTTTGGAATCTTAACAGTGATTGGAGAAGATGATTATCATTTGATGTAATTGATATACAGACTTGGAAAGTAAAATAAAACTAAACAAGCTAATTGGCACAGTCACATTGTCTGTTTTACGATGTAACAGTAGAATTGTTTGATATGTTGATTAAAAACTGCTTCGGATAATTAGGTTTTTTGAAACCAAATATCCCGTGAGTCTTAGCGTGTTTTGTTTTCTAATAATCCTGCCATTCGATTTAGTGATAATGCCAAACAAACAAAATGTATCAACATCTTCGATGGATTCGTCTTAATTCGTGTTTTTCAAGTACTCTATAGTATCGTAGAGATTAAAAATGGTCGTATACATAGAATGATTGTATCAGTAAAATTTGTGATAATCATTAGGGCGTCCATTATTCTTATAAGCATTAGAGCACCCACTATTTTGACCATCATAAGAGCACCCAATATTTTAACAAACAACAGGGCACCTAATGTTGTTACCAGCATTAGGCAACCCCCTATTGTAACCAACATTAGGACACCCACTATTGTAACTAACAATGGGGCACCTACTATTGTAACAAACATTCGGGAACCCGCTATTGTAACCAACATGAGGGATCCCACAGTTGTAACCAACATTAGGGATCCCACTGTTGTAACCAACATTCGGGAACCCGCTATTGTAAACCAACATTATGGAATCATCCATTGTAACCAACATTAGGGCACCCACAATTGCAACCAACAATAGGGAACACACTATTGTGACCAACATTAAGGAACCCTCTATTGTAACAATCATTAGGGTACCCACTATTGTAACCAACATTAGGGAACCCACAGTTGTAACCAACATTTGGGATCCCACTGTTGTAATCAAGACACCAACTATTGAAAGCAATACTAGGGAACCCACTATTTTAACCAACATAAGGGCACCCATTATTGTAAGCAATATTAGGGAACCCACTACAGTAACCAACATTAGGGCACCCACAATTGAAAGCAATATAAGGGAACCCACTTTTGAAACCAACAGTAAGGAACCCACTGTTGTAACCAACATTACGGATACCACTGTTGTAATCAACACATCCACTCTTGTAAGCAATATTAGGGCACCCACTATTGTAACCACCATAAGGGCACCCACCATTGTTATCAATGTTAGGGAACCCACTACTGTAACCAACATTAGGGCACCCACTATTGTAAGCAATATTAGGGAACCCACTTTTGAAACCAACAGTAAGGAACCCACTATTGTAACCAACATTAGGGATACCACTGTTGTAACCTAGACACCCAGTATTGTAAGCAATATCAGGACACTCACTACTGTAACCACCATTAGGGCACCCACTATTGTAAACAATACTAGGGAACCCACTATTGAAACAAACATTATTGAACCCACTATTGTAACCAACATTAGGGCACCCACAATTGCAACCAACAATAGGGAACACACTATTGTAACCAACATTAAGGAACCCACTATTGTAACCAACATTAAGAAACCCATTATTGTAACCAACATTAGGGCACCCACTATTGTAATCAATATTAGGGAACCCACTATTGTACCCATTATTAGGGCACCCATTATTGAAACTAACATAAGGGCACCAACTATTGTAATCAATATTAGGGAACCCACTATTGTAACCAACATTAGGGCATCCTCTATTGTAAGCATTATTGGTGAACCTACTATTGTAACCAACATTAGGGCACCCTCTATTGTAAGCATTATTAGTGAACCCACAACTGTAAACAACTTTAGGGCACCCTCTATTGTAAGCATTATTAGTGAACCCACAATTGTAACCAACATTAGGACATCTATTGAAACCAACATTATGGAACCCACTATTTTTAAAAAAAAATATTCGGACACTCGCTATTGTAATCATCATTAATGTGCCTTCTATTTCAAGTAAACGCCAGGGTGAACGTCATTGTAATTTAAGCAAATGCTTATAAACTTTATAAATCTTATAAACATTAGTGGTCTACTATTGTATAATGTATATTGTACTATTGCCCGCTATTTTAACAAACTCACTTTTGTAATCAACTTTAGGGTGCTTACTATTGTAATCAACCTTAGGGCGACCACTATTGAAATAAACATAAGGTCCCTCGTATTGTAATAATCATTAACCATAATTGTGATAAACTATAGGGTATACAACAATTATAATCATTATCTGATCATGTTTAATTCCTGTCATACGATGGTCGGAATAGAATGTTTAGTATCGATGTCATTGGAGATTCGTCATTGACCTACTAGTTGTAATCAGAAATTGGTGAAGGATATCGAACCCGTTATCTTATCATTGACATTGAGAAGTAGCACAAACGCTGTGGAATTACAGCGTTTTGTTGTCACCAAAAGGAAAGGACTATTGAATGAATTCAGTGAGTTTCGTTAAAGATCATGATCTGTGGAATAGTGGTAGTTCTAATGTGTGCTATTCCCAAGTTATTGTTAGCAGAACTGGATCATGGAGACGAAATACTGAGAACGAACTCCAAAATCATAATGGAACTACAGTCAAGATTATCTGTGATAGAGTATCTACATAAACAGGACACATTACGTATCGCTGATCTTGAGAGACAACAACAGACTTACCAAAGCCATATTGCTGCTCTCGAAAACAAGAGGGAGATTGATCAAAGTCGTATAAATGACCTTGAGAAACAGCGACAAACTGACCGAAGTCGTATCGCAGATCTTGAGAATGACCAAAGCCGTATCACCGTCCTTGAAAAACGATGCCTCATTGACCAAATTCATATAACCGAACTTCAGGAACAGCAACGCGGCTATCTCGACCGTATTGCTGATCTTGAGAAACATCGGCAAAATAGCCACCGCCTTGTTTCTAACCCCGATAACCTCACAAGAAATGAAAAGAGTCCTGTTGAAGATAGACGACAAGATAATTTTACCTCCTCTAAATTGTCAGCTTCATCGTTGGGAACTAGCAAACAAGGTTTGAAAAAACGCGTTAACGCCGACTATGAAGATATGGTGGCATTTTATGCTGTTTTAAGTCATAATTATGACCAAGTATTCAATGATATGGATATTCGTTTTGACCGAGTGCTCACTAATTTTGGAAGTTCCTACAGTGGTAACACTGGTGTTTTCACGTGTACACGTGCTGGCGTGTATATGTTCTCCTGGACAGTTCACGTAACAACAAGATATTCGTACACAGAACTTGTCAAAAACGGAGCACCGATTGGACATGCGTTCTCCGGAGATTCGCCGTACAGTGGCTCTGGAACTGGATTAATTGTTTTGCCTTTGGAACATGGAGACGAAATTTCAATCCGACTTGGTTCACATGTACCAACCACAGTTTATGGCGCCGAAGCAACGACGAATTTCTCCGGATTTCGTCTCCAATCTCAGTGATATCATGAATTGCCTATCAGCGTTTAAATAAAACGATTATTTCGAGTCAGCGTGAGCATATGGCAGTTCTTTGTTTGTTTTTCATTTGTTTGTTTTTTTGGGGGTTTTTTATTGTTTTTTTTTAAAAATATATGTATACATTAACATTGTGAGAGTTTAATTTATTTGGGGCTATCCACCTATTTAGATACATATACGAGTGATCATTTTCATCATTTCTTATTTCACCGTTACATGTACCTGTACGATCGTGGGTTATTCAGTCGAGTTAATGACAGGTGCATGTAATAACGTTACAACGTAAAGTGAAAATACATAAAAATGTAGGATCCGCATTGTGTGATACTGATTTAAAAAAAAAAATAGTATTAAATCACGTGTATTTTGGAATAAGCTCAACGCACTTTGATTCCTTTATAAAAATCGCTCAAACACTGGGCAAAAGAATGTAAAAGGTGGGCCTAGGTACACACTACGTTTTATTTTGAGCACTTACAATAGTTTTAATCGAGTCAAAATGGATCAGACAACGTACTTTGAAATCAAAGTGAGTTATAAAATGTTTAGTTGCAACCAACTTCTAAAAACTCCGCACCTTAGGAAAAATCAAATTGCGTCAAAAATTGCGCTAAATAGGGACAAATTACAACACCTCTAATAATTTTAGATACAGGACTACTAAATAAACGATTTACTGACATCACTGGGTCCCCAACACGACATTTTGATCTTTTGGGACTTACAATGATTTTTATCATTATTTGTAACCAACCAACCAACCGCCCTTCCTTATCATGCAGTATGAGCACATTTGGAGGGATTGTATACATAAGTGGCGAGTTTTCACATTAATAATTGCTATTCCAGTTATAAAGAATAAGCTCCTAACGACGAATTTTTGCTGAAGTCACTATTTATTGGTAAGTAGTATTATAAAACTCATTTTGAAAAGACTGCTTCATAAAATAACTAAAGGACGGGACTCAGAAATCAGCTACAAAACCTACATTTGATATAAAAGAGTTCAGTATTTTTTACTTATAGGCTCTTGAAGCTTTTTGTTATGTAGATATATATATGAGAGTAAGAAAGTTCACATTTTCCATATTCAAATTCAAATCACATGAAACCGGGTAAAGTTTGAAAATAATGATGTGATTTACAAGCAGAGACTGGTGAAAATTTGAAGGCGGCAATTGCCACGTAAATCTTGGTCAATCCAAGTGAGTAATGTCACGTTCTTAAATCTGAATAAACTTAACAACGAGTTCGATCTTTGTATGTGGGCACGTGATATTATTTACTTGGACTGACCAAGGTTTACATGGCGGGTGTCGTTGACGAAATAGAAAACAGTTCCTAACCTTGCCGAACAGCTGATTTTATTATCCTAGTATTTTTAAGGAGTTTCTTTGTACTTTCTACAGTTTTTATTTTGCCATGATTTCACCGACATTATATTTGAGCAGAGATTCTGTTTGAATAAAGATTATTTAATCATGTCGATATTTGTTCAGCTCTTAATATTGATCAACATACTGTTCATAAACGTGAGGCTTAGTACCACATCGAACATTTTGTGTGATATAATTGTAGATTTCAGCATGGTATCGCACTTTTTGGTCGATGTGCTGACACAATATTCATGTTCACGTGCTTTAATTTTTGTGAAACTATATTATTAACAATAGAACATGGATATAGACATTGCTGATGACATCACTGAAATATAGAGAAATGCTAGACATATTCCTTGTTTCGTAGTGAATAACAACTCTCATCAAGAGCGGGTGAAAAATATCAACGTTTCCATCCCATTCAGTGAAATAAAACTGTTATTCGTCAACAAACTTTGACTATCCTTTATGTAATTTGGTGAAAAATAAACTTTAAAAAGACGTAATTGATACGTCGTCATTGAACTATTACTTGTTGTCATACTTTGGCTAAGGAAACAAGTTCACTTTTTATCTTATCTTTGAATTTAGTTGGTCAAGTAACAAAGTCGTTGTCTGTGGGTTTGAGACTTGAGGACAGGTTGCCATTGGAAGACTTAAATCCGTTCGCGCATAAAGAAGACATGCTTTGCGCTATAACGATATTTGTGATCTGTTTTATTTCCGTGAACTGGGGAAGGGAACTAGATACGGGGACCGATGTACTTCGAATGAACAGCGAAGTGATACTGGACTTGGAGAAAAGATTATTTGCTATAGAAAATCTGCATTATGAGGACACCATACATATTACTAACATCGAGAAACAGCGGGAAATTGACCAAAGCCGTATCGTTGACCTCCAGAAACAGCAGAAAACTCACCAAAGCCGTATAACTCACCTCGAGAAACAGGAAAGAACTTGCCAATGCCGAATTGCCGACCTCGAGAAACAGCGGGAAACTGACCAAAGCCATTTCGCTGACCTTAAAAACCAACAAAGGATTGACGAGACTATTATTGCCGACCTTGTGGAACAGCAACAACAAAGCGATCAACGCCATATTTCTAATTCCGAGAACCATAGAGTGGATAACCAAAGCTTGATAAATCGTGCTTACCGACAGCAGTATCGCCAAAAAGTGTTATCACTTCACAACATCACCACAGCAGCATCTGCCGACAACGCAACTCGTATGGCTGACGAAAGAAGTTTTCCAACTGGTAATAAAGAAGCTACCATAGGCCATGATATTCTTAACTTCGGGCTGTTCTCTTCGGAAAAAAACAAGCAAGGTATTAAAAAACGCGTCAGTCCAGACTATGAAGATATGGTGGCATTTTACGCTGTTTTATCACGTGATTACAACAATATGGGCGGCACTGCCGATCTCCGTTTTGATAGGATAGTCACTAACATTGGAAATTCTTACAGCACTAACACTGGTGTTTTCACTTGCCCGCTTGCGGGCATATATGTGTTCTCCTGGACAATCCATGACACAGTAAGTTATGCTTACGCCGATCTCGTCAAAAACGGTGCATCGGTTGGGATTTCTTTCATCGGAGATTCTTCGTTCAGTGGAGTCGGAACTGGGCTATCAGTACTCCTTTTGGAAAAAGGAGATGAAATCTTCATCCGAATAAGTTCACATGGAGTAAATGGAATTTAAGGCACTAAAGGAACGACATTTTTTTCTGGATTTCGTCTTCGGTAGAAATGCTAACACGTCATGTATACCATAACCGGAATAAAACAGAAGCAGTATAAATCAGTCGAGAAGTTTGTTATTTTCAACGAGGAAAAATATAAGTTTTTATCTATGTAGTTATAAACATAATCATTACATAAATCAATTTATCTAATCGTTTTCGTTACCTTTTTGTAAATTACCCTTTTCAAGAGTACACCTTATTTCATTATTATATGTATGAGAGACTCAAACTTCTCCTTAATATCTTAGATAAAATGTTGATGTAATGGATCAAAACCATCGATCACATTTTCTTCAATACCATTGACCGATTCGTCTTTAAAACTGTAGGGATATGCCGTAAAATCATACATTTTTGTGGGATTAAATTTTCGTGTTATTCTTTTTTTTAAAAATCACCATTTTGTGGAGACTTGATTTTGTAAATACAGCTCAATAAAGCTACTTAAACTAATTTGAAGAGCCAATGGACATATGGGTTCGAGGAATAAAAGTATTCTGATATAAACGAAAATAAAGTCCCATGAAAATTAACGATTTCACAGCATATTGAAATCGATGAAGTTTTTTTGAAAGATATGTCAGATTAATACTTATTATTTTAAAATAAAATGTATTGGTTATACAAACAGTATGATTGATCAGTAGGCACATGTTTATATACACTGCAATATAACTAAATATTTACACGTATTAAACTCTTTGAAAAACTGATTTCTTGACACCCGAATAATCTGTAACAAAAACAGAAAAAGCAAGATATATCATTAATATATATGTAATGTTAGTCATAAATTATTTTTGTGAGGGTTTTATTTTAGTTGATTCCGTGGGTACTCTTAAGCCACGATTTCATTTGTCCAAAACTTGTTAAAACAAACATCAGTCGATTTATTAAGCTATATCTATCCTTGAAATCAAGTGTCATCGAAAGGTGTATATAAAGGTCGTTACCTGTGTGTGTAACAAACACCTGTCTATTGAGGTCGTCTATGTATCATAAGTGTAACAAACACCTGTATATAAAGGTCGTCTACATGTCATAAATGCTTGTCTATAAATGTTACCTGTGTATGTAACAAACACCTGTCTATAGAGGTCGTCTATATATCATAAATGTAACAAACACGTGTATATAAAGGTCGTCTAGATATCATAAATGGTTGTCTATAAATGTTACCTGTGTATGTAACAAACACCTGTCTATAGAGGTCGTCTATATATCATAAATGTAACAAACACCTGTATATAAAGGTCGTCTAGATATCATAAATGGTTGTCTATAAATGTTACCTGTGTATGTAACAAACACCTGTCTATAGAGGTCGTCTGTATATCATAAATGCTTGTCTATAAATGTTACTTGTGTGTGTAACAAACACCTGTCTATAGAGGTCGTCTGTATATCATAAATGCTTGTCTATAAATGTTACCTGTGTGTGTAACAAACACCTGTTTATAGAGGTCGTCTATATATCATAAATGTAACAAACACCTGTCTATAAAGGTCGTCTGTATATCATAAATACTTGTCTATAAATGTTACCTGTGTGTGTAACAAACACCTGTCTATAGAGGTCGTCTATATATCATAAATGTAACAAACACCTGTATATTAAGGTCGTCTACATATCATAAATGGTTGTCTATAAATGTTACCTGTGTGTGTAACAAACACCTGTTTATAGAGGTCGTCTATATACCATAAATGCTTGTCTATAAATGTTACCTGTGTGTGTATCAAACACCTGTCTATAGAGGTCGTCTGTATATATTAAATGCTTGTCTTTAAATGTTACTTGTGTGTGTAACAAACACCTGTCTATAGAGGTCGTCTGTATATCATAAATGCTTGTCTTTAAATGTTACTTGTGTGTGTAACAAACACCTGTCTATAGAGGTCGTCTGTATATCATTATTTTTTTTTTATAAATGTTACCTGTGTGTAACAAACACCTGTCTATAGAGGTCGTCTATATATCATAAATGCTTGTCTATAAATGTTGCCCGTGTGTGTAACAAACACCTGTCTATAAAGGTCGTCTGTATATCATAAATACTGGTCTATAAATGTTACCTATGTGTGTAACAAACATCTGTCTATAGAGGTCGTCTATATATCATAAATGTTTGTCTATAAATGTTTCCTTTAGGTAACAAATCCCCCTCCCCGACCCCCATCCTCTCCATCCTCGAATCCAGATGAACCTATTTCACCCTTGCAATAAAAAATCCCATCTGTCTAAATTGAAACAATCGGAAAATGTTACCAGATCATTCCAATTCGATCTATTTTGAGATATGAAACATCTAGTCTATTAATGTATCGATAATATAAACAGGATGTGCAGATCGTCCGTACAATACCTACAATGGCTAAAGTCACTTACCGCCTTTTCTTCATCACTGAAAGTCCTAAGTATCGAGAATATCCAGTTTTAACGTATGTCACTTCCAAGTATTATTGTGACAAAAAGCTGTGCTGTCGTGATACTTAAGGTGACAAAGATAAATTATCACGACTTGTCGATTTAAAAAAAACGTCTTATGACAATATAATAAATTCGTATAAACTTTATTTCATTCCATCATGTGATATTCACAAGACAATAGATATAAGAAATAGCATACTGGAATAGGATTCGGAAACATGTCATTGACTTCTATAAATCCGTTTTCTGGAGTTCGTAGTTAACTAGATAAAGACATGACGGTACGCATTCGTAAATACTATAGAATAAACACGTGACATAACACCACGATATGAATAATAACATGTAGAGAGTGGAGAGTGAGGAAGGAGTTGTTGCCCTTGCCAATTTAAGTGAAGAAGATATAAATCTTATACACTCTACCCTGAAGAAAAGAGAATAAAGTTCTGTACTGTGCAAAATTAGTCAAACCTTTTAGAACGGATGACGAAATTTTGTCCGCAAGAGTGACAGTTTTTTGGCCTTCGTCCGAGGTCAGGCAAACCATCAATTTGGGAATGAAGGACCAGGGAAAAAGCTTCGGCATTGGGCGTAGGGGTTAAACTCTCAAAAACTGAAAAGAAATCAGGACGCGACGTTGTGGCAAATATGCGGGATCCGCAAGTGATTTGTCGCGATAAATGATTTATATGGCAACACGACTAGCAGATGACGGTAACATGTCACTATGTGTGTTGTGTTAAAGCTATCAAAATATTAACTTACTTTTTGTCTGGGTTTCCTGAGGTACGACGTTAAAGGGAGGGTCTGCTAAAAGTTGATTGATATAGCAAATTTATCATTGAGCTGGTTAAAATGTGGCTATCAGGAATTGTCATATCTAATATCTCTTGAAGTACCTGATATTTGTAATTGCAATTATCGTAAATACATCACAACTCTTTTAAGGCGGATATCGATTTTTAAAAAAGCAGATATTTGTCGCGATGGGAGAGTATCACTGTACTTAAAGCTTTAGTATCAAGTATATTCAACTGACCTCTGATAACCTCCATTACTACACGTTCATAAATATTCAAGACACCTGAATTTCATGCTTGGACATATATGATTTGACAGAACACGGGAAACAAAACATTACGTAACCAATATATTAGTAGACAAAATCATCATTTTCTGCAAATGTGAATTTCAGCAAAATAACCTTCCTATTGCATATCTTTGAGGTTTTGGCGTTAAGCTAAGAAAGTCCCGGTTTTCAAATTTGATTTTTTTTTCTCCCCGATCAAGATATATTACCAAGTAGAATTAACTGACTAACATAAGCTACACGCTTGCTGGCAAAGCCCTGTTCACCTCTACTTATTTTGTGTCTTCATTTATTTCATTGATGAATCAGATATTGTATAAACTAAACTGAAATAGCCTGCTAAGCGGTTTTCAAACTGATAATGCTTGTTACACTATTTATCAACAAATCTTGGTCACGTGTTAAATACTAAATTCCTTATGTTTCATTATGCTTAGTGAGGGAAAAACTCATGAAAACTTGCAATATATATTTATAATTATTTCTTATGTAATCGACTTTCACCAAATTGAACGAGAAATTCCGTAATAAACGTGAGCTTCTGATAGCGAGCGTATAAATTAGTAAATATGCTAACAGTGTTTTATACATATACATGAATCTACATTCACATATGCATGTACATACACTGAAAGTCCTTCGTATAGAACGACAGCAGTAGGTCTATAATAGGAGAGGGATATGGAGATGAATCCGAATTCACGGAAAGGTCCCGGAAGTGAGAGGAAATCCGAAGCGATGGAGAATTCAAGCGATGAGGTTGAACATGACCCAACGGTTTCTTACGAGGTGAAAAAACGTAAATTTGTTTACGATATCCTTGATAAGCCGCCTATACACCTGGTGGTATTCTTCGGACTTCAGGTAAGACAATGGAGATTGATTATGTAAATTTGGTTTTTGACAGAGATTTGTGGTTGTGACCTAGATTCATTGCCTTGTACTGAAGTGTACCGGTACAAAATGAACACAATTACACTACTGACGAAGGACTATCATCCGGGTCCCAAACTCACCATCTACGGCACTTAATCGCCTTGCCCAAACAATGATAGTTGCCTAACCATTACACCACCACGACATCCCCAAAAGAGGATGTTTGGAAGTCGTAGTGAATAGTCAGCTTGAAATTCTCAGACAGTTTCTTTTCCTTGTGAAAAAGTGCTATCATAATAAGTATTTTCCGTGGTAAATAAAATAACAAATTTTCCATTCGAACACATGAGAAGTAATTTGATGTACAGGTATAAGATTACAAACTTTTATTGTATTTTCAAATTAATTTCCAATCGAAAAAAAAAAAAAAAAATAACACACACACACACACACACACACACACACACGCCCACGACCTTAAAATGCAAACTCAGGGAGGCATACTATAATAATTTGTTGCGCTGTTTCGTAAAAAGGTAATTTTGGTATGTGACTGGTCACATCTTAACTAGTGTCCACTTATAGATTAACTGCTGTAAATATGAAGATGACAAGAGGTGCCTGCGGGCTCATCGTAAAACATGAAATGGAATGATACATCCACGACAGAATGGGGACTCCTAGTTTGCTTCATACGTGCGACAAAATATGATGAACAAGGGCAGTTTTTACCTCTGGGTTTATTTCCCCAACAACTATGTGGATTATGATAATACTTAATTCATGTTGCTGATATACACTAAACCGTATTCATAACTGCACCTCTGCAGCAGATGCCCGTGATCAGACATCGATACATACGAATTATACTTCCTGTACGAAAATCTTACCTAGATCAGAGACTCGTTATATACGTCTCTGGAAAAGGTCGGTATTTTTTCACACGAAAATCTTACCTAGATCAGAGACTCGTTATATACGTCTCTGGAAAAGGTCAGTATTTTTTCACACCCGTAGCTACACGCCACCAAATTTTGCGCTCGAACATTCCTTTATGAAGACAATACAGTCATTCGTGATTCTACGAGAACTGTGGTAGTTGCCAATCTTTATGTTATATAGGTCTCTGCCTTGATATCGACTGCACTATATAACCTTTTCGTGTAAAAAAATCTCAGAAGAAATTACATTTTTAAGTTTATAAATGCCATTGGATCAATGCTATGTTTTATCATTAACACTTTCCTCTTCCCAGATGAATATTGTATCGTGACGTCTTCGTAAGACATTTAGGGAGGACACTGATACAATGCATTTGCCATTATAAAAAAATAACCGCCAACATTAGGGTATGTCGATCTTTATCAGCTTAAATTTAAATTTTAAATGGACGTTACGTATTGACACCCCCTTTTTGTTTTGTTCTGTTTTGTATTGTTTTATTGGGGTTTTTTTTTTGTTTTTAATCTCTCGTTTATCATTTCGACTAACTTAATTCATTATTTCTGTATTCCAGCAAGCTTTACTTTCCCTCTCTCTCAATCTAACGACATCCCTACTTGTAGCAGATGCTGCATGTGGCTTTGATAATGAACTTCTCAAGGCAGAGCTGCTAAGCACCACATTGTTTGCCTCTGGGATCAGTACGTTGCTTATGGTGACGGTTGGCGTCAGGTACACTAAGAATGAGAGAGTAAAGCGTGTGTGGCGGGATTACATTTTAGCAAAACAATACTGGCGGAATTATATCTTAACGAAACAACACTGGCGGGATTTTATTAAAAAAAAAAAACCAGTACAAGCGGGATTGTAAAAACATTACTGACGGTGTATATTGGAAAGCTGATTCGTGCCAATAAAAAGAAAAGAAATAAGATATTTCCTGATATATATTATAGATTGACGATGTGTACGTCTAGGATTGTTTTGACGAGGGTATGGGCGTATTATGCAAAGAAGTGGGGTGGGCGTCAATGATCTTCAGTTATATCTCGTGTTTGTTTGGGGAAGGCGATGATATGCCGTTTACGTACAGGTCTAGTTAGTCTAGTGTTTCCTTGTAGGCTTCCGATTTACCAGGGCCCGGCAATGGCTTTCGTCACCCCATTGGTAGCTCTGAAGAATTTGGCTGATTGGAAGTGTCCAAATTCTGAAGGTCAGTTTACACTTAACGATAAGTATACTATAGCTGTTGCTAATATCACTTGATTGAAAGGGGGCTTACCTGACAAGTATGCATGTAAATATCTTTTACCAACACACAGGACTGTTAATCTGGCATTTATAAAGAATATAATTGTCACAATAATCAGAACAATGATTACATCCCAACAGTTTGAATTAAGATAAGTTGTTTGGAACAGACATTCACACCGTCACCGTCTCGGTGGCTGTAATGACAAGTGATTTAGTGATAAACATGCCGGTAATGGTACAGCATTTATCGTCGGACAATTTTCACTTTTTTTTTCTGATGTAATCACACAACAGAAACGTCATCAATTATATACACGTAGACCTTTCTACCTCCATTGATTGAAGAATATCTCCGATACTAAAGTTGATCGTTATAAATCATAATATAAATGCAAATCAAATTAAACTTTAATCAGTTTACAACAATTGTGAAGTTAGTTTTCCAACTGATATTAATCACTCTTCTTGCCCCGGGTGGAAGCGCGCGAGGGTCTTACTGTAGGGAGGAATCCTGAGTACCCGGGGATCGCCCGCGTTTACGGGCAGGTGACCCATAACTTTCCAATTCCGTTCCGAGAGTCGAACCTTGAACGTCTAGGTTAAAGGCGAGTGCGTCACCACTACACCACCCGACCACCCAGTATACAATATAAAAAAAAACACATCTTATACTCCTTACAGTGTTAACATTACGTACATGTACATTTTCTATGAATTGTCTTGCAGTTGTCAATAATTCCACGATCACTGACGGTTTTAACCAAACACTTAACATAAGCACGCTGCCACCAGTCTATGTGAGAGAGGAAGCTATGCTGAGATTACAAATGGTGAGTTACGTTTGCTAAATATACGATACTTTGTAAGCTATTCTTTTTATTCATTTCTAAAAATCATTTTCTTAAATTAATTATATTTTAAGATATGTGAAGATCTCTTTAAATTGCAACTGGTCAGCTAATAAATATTTCTTTTATAGACCTTTGTTGAATTTCCGAGTTCTGAGAACATTGCGTCTGTGATTGATTTGTATTGATTCAGTTGCAGAGTCTCAGATATTCTTTTTTCTGTTCTCTTTCATATGGTATCAGTCCAGAATCGATAGAAAATCATTTAATAGCTTATTAAGATGATTTGAAGTGAGTTTGCGCATGATTAGAAATTGAGCATATCTGCTTCTTCGGTAAACCGACATAAAATTAGGTTGATATTTGTTGAAATCTCTCACTTCACGAACACAACTCATCATTATAGCAAAAATAGTTTTGTATTTATTTGAAGTATGCTAAATAAAGACGGATAAGAAAATTGGAGTTACTGACAATATCAACTTGTGACGTCACAATTAATAAAGTAATGAAATTTGGGTAACACCATTTCATTTATTTTTGGTAATATTTGAAAACCTGTGTAGGAACAGAAAACGTTAAAAGTTGCTTTTAAGTAAGGAATTTTATATGAAGAAAGTGTTTTGTATGATATTTCAGATGCAAGGCAGTTTGATGGTAGCTGGGGTATTTCAGACATTGTTAGGGGTAACTGGTTTGATTGGTCGAATCCTAAGATTTATTGGACCAATCACAGTCGTCCCTGTCCTCTTGTTGATCGGAATCAGTATCTACAAAACCGCCGTCAAGTTCTGCAACGCACATTGGGGCGTAGCTTTGTTGTAAGTACACACTATAATAAGATGAACAGCATCGCTTAATTACATGTAAATTCCATTTTGCACTGTGACCTGTAATTAACGAATGTTGGAATATGACGTTATTTTGGTGTAACGTTAATCTACGTTACGTAAACGCTTTGCACGTTGCCAGATGTAATATGAATTATAGTTTTACAACAATCATTTACATAATTATGATTTTCGTGTGATCTCCTCTTGGTAGAGGACTTCATTTCTTCTGGATTCCCAGTCTGAGTCACCTAGCAGTAAGTATTCTTCGGTTCTCCGATGTCCCCTTAACTGAAGACATCGAAAAAGCTACCCCGACCTGCAGGAGGTGCCCTACAATTAGTCGCCTCTTAGCACATAGAAATACTTAGGTTTCTTGAAGCTGTATTTCCGAATATTTCTTGATATCCAATTTATCCATAACAAATGATGTCGTCCATTAATGCAGAATTCAGAAAAAAAAAACCACATTGAAAAAGAATTTCGACAAAATTAAGTATCATTAAAATATATTTTCTACTGACAGAACATTTGCTGTGGCTATGGGATTGTCACTTTATTTGGAAGGGCGACAGACACCGATACCGTTCTGGAATAAAGAGCGGGGGTTTCATATCACTTACTATCCTCTCCACACAGTCTTCTCAGTAAGTCAATCTTCTGCGTATAATTTAGGATAGAAAATATCATTTTTATTTAAATTGCATGAAAAGGAACATACATCAGTCTACAACAGATGGCTTGTGGATAGCACAGACTCGACAAATAACCCAGTCGTTGATGAGCTTTGAATTCAACGTATTAGTTGAGTAAAAAAACAAATTCGATTCGTGTGTTCCTCAAATATGTTTCATGATTTTTCTGGCAAATTAATCGCAGCTACACACCACTCCTCAGATCTTGGCTGATTCCTTAACTACAACGAATCAGAGTAGAAGGGTATTGGAATTAACCGAGGTCAACATGGGACATTTAAGAGATGCAATGAAATAGACACAACTCACAAAATCATTATGAAAATTGAAAATGCACACAGATACATTTGTATTTATCATGTATAATACATTTACTTATAATTTATCTTCTACAAGTCTCATCGATATTTTCTTTTATTGACTTCATGAAAAATGAACAAGCAAACGAACGAAAAAGATAAGCTAATTGAACAACAAATAAATAATGTATACACAAACTGCACAATGACCATGTGTAATGGTTCATGTTATTTTTCAATTGGAAATCCTATCACATTCCACCCACATGTATTTATGATGTATAACTCGCAGGTACCGGTCACAATTGTACATCGAGAAGTTGCTTCTCTAAAGACCTATGCACATTAAGGTACTTTATATAGAAGCCAACAAAAAGTATGAATTATGACCAGTGTCTGTGTTATTATCATCATTAAGTCGCATAATATCGAACATTTCTCAACAAACGGTTTTTTTCAACAACTGAAATTCATTTAGTGCATTGGTCTATGCCTGATCTTTGTTTCATTGTTCATTTTCCCAGTTACTTATAGCTATTATCGTGGGCTGGTTGGTCAGCATTGTACTGACCATGACGGGGTCACTTTCAGATGACCCTAAAAGTGCGCAATTCTTCGCTCGAACAGACTCAAGGGTGAAGGTCATTGAAGAAGCAAACTGGTTCTACTTCCCATATCCAGGTAAACTTTATGACATGTTATTTTATTTATTGATTTTATGCAAATAACTTGCAATTTGAAAAAGGGTCATAGGTATAGATTGAATAAATGTCATGACCTACTTCTATTGACTTACAATACACGCGGTACCTGCACGTTTGTAGATCCATATGCATGCTTAAAACTCGGTAACGTTCCTTTTTACGTGACCTTTGAACTTCACGCTTCAATGACGCATGTTTGATATTCATTTTTGCCGATAATTATCACATGACAGTCACCCTGATCTTCAGATTTAGTTGACCATAAATCTTCACATCAATCTCCGATGTACATGCATGTCAACCCCTAAATTTCGTTGGCGTGACAACGCCTCGTGAAAAGAACAGTCACGGAGACGAAACACGACTGTTACCATCCAATCGACCCGACCAACAGTCTGACATCTAAACGCATTCAAATGACAAACACTACATTAAAATTGTGTACCTTGTTTCAGGACAGTTCGGACCGCCGAGATTCAATTTAGATGTGTTCGTCACATTTTTCATCGCCACTCTCATATCAGTCATCGATTCAGTTGGCGACTACTACGCTGTCGCGAGAATTTGCGATGTGCCGCCCCCACCAACGCATGCAGTTAACAGGGGTATTTTAGCGGAGGGGGTAATGAGCACTGTGGCGGGATCCTTAGGGGCTGGCCATGCCACTACATCATATGGTCCGAATATTGGGGCCATCGGCTTTACCCGGGTATATGTTATTAAATACGTTAATATGTTCCAACAACACATTACAATAAGCCATGCAGATGATCTAAGTTCTAACCGTCTTTCTCCTCATAATAAGGGTTTACGCCAATGGTTGATTTCCTGCCCATTCTTGTTTTAGTTCTGAGGAACACAGCCTGGTGAAGATAAATTACTAAGGCATATTATTCTCCTTCGAAAGTAGCAAAGAGCACATCGTACAGTGTAGTGAACAGAAGTGGTAATAAGATCATAGTGATGAAGATTGCACTGTCTTCGATCATTATTCATTTATAGGATTCAGAGTTAATGCTGATGCTAAACATCGTCAGGCTTTTGTTTTACGCACCCATATAGAAGGGTTTTTTTGTGCTATTTCACCAATAATTGTAACCCCAGAAAAAACTTCCCAACACAAACCTCATCGCATAGATATATTATCACATTTCTTCTCTGTTGTAATAAACCCCGTCGTGAAATTTATTTGAACCACACATGTATAGACAACCAGTTCATTGTGTAATTGGCTTAAGATTCCTTTTGTTTTTTTATTGTTACGTCATAACTTCAAATCGGTAGAATCGTTAGAGATAGCTTATCATCTCGTACACTATGTATGTCAGTGCTAGTACGCTCCATACTGGTCATTTTTCTGAAGAAGATGACCATAGAGTCATCAAAACGTCACACTTTAATCTTCTACTGGTTGTGTTATAAAAACTTCTATTCTATAGACTTTACCAACCAAAAGAAAATATTCCAAAATACTTAAAATCTTAGATGATTTTTAAACCGATTTCAAAAGATAGCATACACCCTTAACTCGTCTTGTGAGATATGTGGTTCCAAGTTATCTTTGATACATGCAGGTGGCGAGTCTGCGTGTATTTGTTGCCTGCGGAATCACCTACATCATCTTCGGAGTGATTGGGAAAATCGGCGCCTTCTTTATCACCATGCCTTACTCAGTGTTAGGAGGGGTATCAATGGTAAGCTTCGGTATGTTCATTGGCTTCAACTTCGCTAATCTGATACCAGTCCAGCTCAATGCCCGTAATATGTCTATACTAGGGATTGCCATATTCTTCGGAATCATGATGCCTCATTGGTCCAAGACTCACTCAATCAATACAGGTAAGCAAATGAGTTCAAGGGAGATAATTCTGATTATATGACAATCACACAATTTGACACATATATACATGATATTTAAAAATACAAACACCCAGTCCCAATCGCTTGAAAAATTAAATCAAACTTTTAATTCTAATAAATCATTGCAATACATATAATACAAGAAGTAGTTTATTTGCAGTTTCGGTATAACATTGTTCCCATAATTATATTAGTTGTTGCCTTTGCGTGATATTTCTGTAAATCGCTTGAAAAACGTAAACGAGCGATAATACCGGCCAAGGGAGATAACTCTAATAACAATTCAAGAGAAAATTTGAGAAGATGTATGGCAGGTGACCTGAACATTGCATTTCGATCCTTATTTCAGGAATTTTAGACTTAGATAGACTTCTTAACGCCTTTATTAGTAATACGATGTTCACCGGCGGATTCATCGCATGTGTTCTTGACAATACAGTGTCTGGTGAGTAATGATATATTTTTTTATCCGAATTTCATTCGATATTAAACTACACTGTACCTGGATATAATGGATAAACGAGTAAAACTATGTCTACAGGTACCCTGGAGGAGAGAGGTTTAAAAGCTTGGCTAGACGAAACGGTTGGACAAAGCCAAACACAACGAAAGATCCATCTGTACGAAGTTCCGTACTTACAGGAAAGACTCGGCCGATATAAGTGGGCGAAATACATACCATTTATGTCTGGATACGGAAAATCCTTGTAAGCCAATTTTGCAAAAAGCCCTTTTCACGTTTGATCTATTTTTTTTATGAATGTTATAATCTTGTTACATGTGTATTTCTTAATCAAATATACCTTAATTAGCATTTGTATACATTTATAATCAGAATTCGCACTAAAAAATGCCTAAATTTGTCTTATCGGTTTATTTTGTATTTTGAAGAAAAGTACGGTGATATGTGTTGTGAATACTTATGTCCAATAATTTTGTAAAAACTTATTTGCAGCAAAATATGTTTTAATCAAACGAATTTTTGAAACCGTTATAACGTTTGTTAGAAACTGGATCTATACTGGCTTTCTTCTAGAGAGAGAGAGAGAGAGAGGAGGGGGGGATAAAGAGAGAGAGAGAGAGAGAGAAAGGGGGGGGGGGAGGAAGAGAGAGAGAGATTGAAAAATAATAAAGTGGGAAGTAGAAAGCGAAAGTAATGGAGGAAGAGTATAGTAGAGTGAAAAAGAGTCAGGCGAGTTGGAGGAGGTACAGATAAAGAGAGTTGGAGGGCGAGTTGAAAAGAGACACGAGGAATGTCTATGATAGAGTGGCCCATCGATATTCTGTTATAATCAATTTAAGGTTTTACTTTTTTCGAGCCACATGATGTTATCTATCTGTCTATCTATCTATCGGAATCCATAATCAAAGTGAGTTTGTCACAGTTTGTAACTATTTTTATACATTCAGAAAGTTGAATTCATTTGTAAGAATGTTGTTATTAAGCTAGAGAGATTTGAAGGGGAAAAAACCTGGTAACAAGTTTTGCTGCAATAACACAAGAGTTTTCATGAATTGTACTTTGACGAAGCAATTATATTATCTAACCTTAAACGTGATTTCAATCCCTTTTCTATAAAACAGCAATATCAAAACTGGCGATAAATGACTGAAATTAGCAATTAATTTGTTGCTTGTACATAAAAGACACACAAAAATAGCTGCTCATTATCTGCAGGAAGTACAAACAAATAACAAAACAGCACACAAAACAAAACGACACAGGATATCGTTCACTATTGCTGTACCGACAGGATCAAACGAAGGGAGGTAACTCTGATGAATAAGAATTTATATCGTATAATTTGTATTACTTCTATGTAACATTGTACCGAAATATTATTGCACAAGGAAAACTGACATACAAAATTAGATATTAATTCCCAAGAACTCTCTGAGAAATACCTGTACCGCCAACGAAATTGGTTTGTCTAAATCAAAGATGTCCATCTATCGATCGTCTTGTTTCAGCAAAACTTAAGAAAACAAAAACAAAAAAGAAGCAAAACACAAATAAACAAAAACAAACTCTGAAAAAGAAAGTTGAGGATGGTTAATTTATCTTTCTGAGAAGTAGTGATAATAGAAATAAACTACCCAACTGCATGAATATGTCGGACATGTGTTTTCCGAATAATGCCCGTAATTGGAAAATAAAGAAAAAGCGAAAGCAACATTCAGAATAGAAATGATCTTTTGTTGTTTGTTAATTCCAACCAGTACAAAAATGGAGCAAGCAGAACTAGAGGCCATGAGACATATACAAAAGAAATACAGGAATGATAATCCATCAAATACATCTAAATGAATAGCAATAGAAAATTGTATTTTTTTCGTAAATTGAGGCGCGTAAGCCATTTCGCTTCTCTCCTCGTCATTCCTTAAATAATGGACAATTCAGACTAAGGACAATGGGGATCATATGGAGTTTGAAAATGACCTATTTGGCAATTTTCAAGAAAGACCGATAACAAGAATGCAAAAATGCAGCCCATCTTACTTATTAAACTGTTAAGCATCCTCATTTTAACAATTTTGGCATTTCACTGAAGAACTTATCTTTAATCGTAAAAATTGTGGACGAAGGGAGATAGCTCCTAGATTAATTGTGAACTCGTCTACAACGGTTAGTTTTTTGTCTGTAGTAACTTTCACATCGAAACTTGTGTTGAAAAAATAAATACAATGTACTTTACCCACTGAATAAATTGTGTCAATAGTAATGGAACGCAGTGGAGCCCCTAGTCATTACACTGCTGCATAAATATACATATGTACATAGAAATATGGAAACATAGAATAAGTCACTTACGTGTGTGCATTGAATTATTTTTTGTCAGAAAAAAGGACCAATAAATAAATCGATATGTACTATAAAATTATTGAACTCGTTTGATAAAAAAAACCTATTACGTCGACACTCGTGCAATATTCTCTGTTCTTCAGAAGGGTGACACATTGGTTGGTGTTGCCCATTGTTGTAATTCTATACCAGGTTACAGAAGTAGATGCGACTTCACTATAGAATCAATGGGTTGCATTTAGTGAGCGAGGTTACGATAACGGATGTTATGATCAGCTTCACTTTTCAGAAATTTAAAAACGTCTTAATATGATTTTTCTTCAAATTTTGCTTTCATTCCAATTTTTAGACCATTTAGACTCGTCTGACAAGTGTTCGAACACAAACGTGGTTTTGGCCGTATTCATATGAATACTTGTAGACTGAGAAGTGATACGTTACGAATGTTTTCAGCTATATTAAAACCACATACAGTTGTTCAGTTATCGGCATTTGGTCATACGACACCGGTGTAATGGCGGATATCGACGGAAATCGGAACCTATACTCAAACACCCCATTAAAAATATATATTGTTTACAAGTTTGTTGTGGTGTCGTTCTATAGAATGTAGAAACCTCTTTACACAAAAGTTACATAAGACGATATTCTAGATGGATAATGTTGTACAAATACACGAGATGAATAAAGCATTGATGAATAATGTAAACTTTTTGTATAAATCTAGAAGTCCATACGGTTAGAAATAGATTTTCCTAATGTCATTACATATTGCAGTTAGGAACTGACATTCCCACACTGCAGTTTGTGTTACAATGCATGCATCTCTATTATAAAAGCAGCAGTTTTAAAATATGAACACGACTACATATATGTATGTTGACCTGTTGAATATTGACGGGTTAAAAGTCTTGTGAAACAAACTCATAGGAATTAGATGGTATATTTATTTCTGTTCGTCTCAACACCTGCAAAGGGTTGTTTGAAAATCTTAAAATCGGTGTTTGCATTTCAACACATTTTGTTTTTCAACATAATTTACCTTCATTTCTCATTTTGGATATTACAGATGTATACTGCTTTTTCTTTTTCGCTGTGAAGACCTGTGCTGCGGTAAAAAAAAACTACGAACCGCTTTTCCTTCAAATTTTGGCAATTCAAAATATTCAAACATGGCTGACGATTTTTCGTGCGGACGACAATTTTCTGCAAATGGAACTTCAATTTCACGCATGCCCAAATGCAGTTAAATCTCAGATGTCGTTTAATTGGTTGCTTGCCCATGAAGCAACATCACGCCATTTTGATTGACAGGAAAAATCCGTTAGGGGCTTGGTTTGAATATGGACGAGAATTACACAGATTGGATCGTCTGTGTTTGTGATGTTGCATATCATTTGATATAACTGGCAACGAAATGTATCACAGCAGTCCGTACACCGCCAATTCAAAATTCTGTTTCAAAACAAACCATTGAAGACACCAATTTTTAAGCAAATCGTTCCAAGACATAGCAAAGATTATGGACGAAATTATTGAAGTAGCTGAAAACGGAACCTGAGAAACTGTATATCGCAATAAAAACGGTTTATCAATGCCAAAATTACATATGTGAATATTTAGAAAATAACCGTTTACATACAACACGAAAAACTAAGCGTCACTTGATGTCCATTAAGGTATATTGTGTAAACAGTTTCCTTTGGCTTATACATTGTACATTTTGACATGTGTTGTTTGCAGTACATATATCTGTCAATCAAAATATCTAAAACGCCAAAAAGCCAATGCCAAATACCCCTCTATTAGTCAGCAGAAGGAAAGGTAACAAATTGTTACCAAAATAAAAAGTCCAACTGAAATCGACAATCGAATACAAAATATAGTTAACAAATAGACGGAGATCTGTGAAAATCTACATATGTTGTAAAAATGAATTTTTAGTATAAAAATCTCACTGTTTAGAGGGTATACTACAACGTAACTCATAAAGAAAAAAAGACTCTGAAAACAATCGAAAGCAATGAAAAAACTGCATCAGATTGATTGAGATACAAGTTTCAAAGTTAAATAATAGCTTCTCAGTCGGATATAAAATGTATCCCATTTCTCCGACTTCGATAATATGAATTTGGCACTGCATAAGAGCCAGCGCAATGTGATTAAAGTCTTATGGGATGCAAATTTTGCTACATTAATGTAGGTCCTTGAGTCAGAAAAAAATAATTTTTATATTTTTGTATTTTTGTAAACCTGACACATCCACCTTTGTCAGTTTAACGCCACATTGAATCAAAGACACTTTTACGTAATTCTCAAAAGAGCTAGCAAGGATAGCTTCTATATATAGAATAGACTACTCATTTTCTCGTTACGTATTTCACATGTGTTTTGACTTTGTTCCGGTTCGCATCATTTTGTGCTTTAGTATGTCCTACGCTTTACACTGGAATTTAGATGAACACAATATAGAATATCTTTGATCGTGATTGGCAAATGTACTCTTTCGATCAAGGTTTTAGCATTACATATTTAGTCTTTTTAAAATGTTTATGTTTGAACCATATTTTTAGATATTTCCACTTGATCGTTTGAACATTTTGTAGGCCAAGAAACATTTTTTAACAAATCAATAGGTTGGAAGCTCACAGTCCTTTCTGTGAAGAGCAAGTTCCAGCTAGCTAGCTGTCCAAGGCTGACCAAAAGCGAAATTTGCTTGTTTCTCCTTTAAACAACTTCATATTTAAACACACATTACCATAAAGCGCCCGCAGTATTCAGAAATGTTATTGGTGCAGATCAGACTTGTTCATTTATCAGGGCTGGATAAAGGGGAGAATGTGATGTTTCGCAGTTTGCAAGAAACTTTCCATGCATGGTAATGCTAACTGATTTTGGAAAAAAAGAG